CTTAGAACATGTAGATGATTTTGAAAAAAAAATTCGTCAATTTGAAGCAAGTTGAAAAAATACCTCTTTGACTTTTTTTGACATTGAGAAGGTCATTGAAGGTCAAATGTCAAATGTAAAGTCAGATTTGAACTTCTGAGAACATGTAGATGATTTTGAAAAAAAATTAAGTAAATTTGAAGCAAGTTGAAAAAAGACCTTTTTGACCTTGAAAAGGTCATTGAAGGTCAAATGTCAAATCTAAAGTCAGATTTGAACTTCTGAGAACATGTAGATGATTTTGAAAAAAAATTAGTCAATTTGAAGCAAGTTGAAAAAAGACCTTTTTGACCTTGAGAAGGTCATTGAAGGTCAAAGGTCAAATCTAAAGTCAGATTTGAATTTCTGAGAAAATGTAGATGATTTTGAAAAAAAAAATTAGTCAATTTGAAGCAAGTTGAAAAAAGACCTTTTTGACCTTTTTTGACCTTCAGAAGGTCATTGAAGGTCAAATGTCAAATCTAAAGTCAAATCTAAAGTCATATTTGAATTTCTGAGAACATGTAGATGATTTTGAAAAAAAAATTTAGTCAATTTGAAGCAAGTTGAAAACAGACCTTTTTGACCTTTTTTGACCTTGAGAAGGTCATTAAAGGTCAAATGTCAAATCGAAAAGGCAGATTTGAATTTCTGAGAACATGTAGATGATTTTGAAAAAAAAATTAGTCAATTTGAAGCAAGTTGAAAAAAGACCTTTTTGACCTTTTTTGACCTTGAGAAGGTCATTGAAGGTCAAATGTCAAATCCAAAGTCAAATCTAAAGTCATATTTGAATTTCTGAGAACATGTAGATGATTTTGAAAAAAAATTTAGTCAATTTGAAGCAAGATGAAAAAATACCTTTTTGACCTTTTTTGACATTGAGAAGGTCATTGAAGGTCAAATGTCAAATCTAAAGTCAGATTTGAATTTCTGAGAACATGTAGATGATTTCGAAAAAAAAATTTAGTCAATTTGAAGCAAGTTGAAAAAAGACCTTTTTGACCTTTTTTGACTTTGAGAAGGTCATTGAAGGTCAAATGTCAAATCTTAAGTCAAATCTAAAGTCAGATTTGAATTTCTGAGAACCCGTAGATGATTTTGAAAAAATTTTTTAGTCAATTTGAAGCAAGTTGAAAACAGACCTTTTTGACCTTTTTTGACCTTGAGAAGGTCATTGAAGGTCAAATGTCAAATCTTAAGTCAGATTTGAATTTCTGAGAACACGTAGATGATTTTGAAAAAAAAATTTAGTCAATTTGAAGCAAGTTGAAAACAGACCTTTTTGACCTTTTTTGACCTTGAGAAGGTCATTGAAGGTCAAATGTCAAATCTAAAGTCAGATTTGAAGGTCAAATGTCAAATCTAAAGTCAAATCTAAAGTCAGATTTGAATTTCTGAGAACATGTAGATGATTTTGAAAAAAAAATTAGTCAATGTGAAGCAAGTTGAAAAAAGACCTTTTTGACCTTGAGAAGGTCATTGAAGGTCAAATGTCAAATCTAAAGTCAGATTTGAACTTCTGAGAACATGTAGATGATTTAGAAAAAAATTGAAGCCAGTCTAAACAGTATTTGTTAAGTTATAGGAAGTTGTAAGAAATTGTTACAGACGCCGGACGCCAACCTCCAACCGCCGGACGCCGTCGCAAAAAAACGGAGACCATAACAATATGTCACCACTTTTGGTGGTGACATAAAAACAGAAAAAACAAAGACAAAAATGAAAACAACAAGGAACACTGACAAACATAGAGGTTATAACAGATAAAGAGAGAAATAAGCTAGAAAATAGGAAAAAAACTTAACCTACAGCCATCTTTGATTTTCATCAAGACAACAATTTAACAATTAAAAGAAAAAGAAAAAAGGAGTTGGGTAAACAAGGCCATTTTAAGCCCCACCTGATTTTCAAGTTTTCTCTTTATTTTATTAATCTATGTGATATATGTGTTTCAAAAATGTATGAAAATTTAGGTCAAGGTCATATTCCCCAGGTCAAGGTCAAATTAAAAAAATTCATTATTTTCTACCAAAATATACCTTTTTTGGTTAAAATATCACAAATATCTGTAGGAATTTAGCCTCATAGAGGTTGGAATTACAATATATAGTAAATTGGCAATTTGCCAATAATGAGATATTTATATTAATATATTCCGCCCTTCCCACGCAACACTGAAAGAGAACAAAAGTACCTAAAATAATGAAAATACTTTATCATTTTTAATTCATTTAAATTCAGAATGTACATTTCATGATTTGACTCGTAAAGTAATGTTTATTTTTTATGAGAAATATGTCCTACTTCCTGTTAGCGACATAGGGTATGCACATACACACACACTAAACACACACACCGTATATATTATAATTCAACATAGTGATATTATTCAACATAATTTTAAAGCAACTATTAAGTTTATTATCAATCATTCTGATAATGTCTAGGAAACAGTAAGTACAGATAACGGAGATTATCACTTCTTGGAGATCACCTAAAAGGTGAAAAACATCTAAAATCTCAACACATTTCATCATTGGCTTGTTAATGAAATAACAATGAAACATTTTCTGATTAGTTTTACTCATCATCACTTGAACTACCTGATTCAGATGATGTGCACATATAACCACTTGATGTTTCAGGTATTTTAACATCTAAAATTTTATAATGCCCTGCTTCCTACATATGCAGCATGAATAGCATTTGGCCATTTTGAATAATCAACAAAAATGGAAGGCAAAATTTTCTATAAAGTTCTAAAATTCACACCGAGCATAATAAGTCTCCATCAAAATTATTCTTTGTATGCAACAATATAACATTTATGTAACTAAAGAAGCACTTATTAGAGTGGAGACCTGTTATGCTCTATGTGAAAACACTCAAAGGATTACTACCTCCAGTGAATAAAAATGTCACCCAGACTCAGCATGAAATGTCCTTTCAAAGCTTTACTTACCTCTAAACCGTACATATTGTTTAAATCAATTGTATGTATGGATCAAATAAATATATATTTACATAATCCTGGACAGATAAATCAAAAACATTCATTCATAGCTGAGTAAATTGGAATTCATCAAGAGGGTAGCAAAATATGTGAATTTTTTTCCTTCTGGCCCCCACCCTCTTTGAAGGTCTCCAGACACCATAACAATTTTTTCTAATTTTTTTAAAAAATACTACCCAAAAATATAGACTTCAATCTATGCATTTCTGATGTTTTTTTCTCCTATATATTCTTAAAAAAAGTTTTTTCACACTTCAATTGGGGCACTCTCTGTTGCTAGTTTACCCAACTCCTTTCATTGGTAACTGAAATCCTCAATCCCTAGATCCAAGATAATAACTAGTCAAAGATACCACAATCACCTGCCAATATCTTCTGTTAATGCTTATAGATATACATGTATGTACATGTAAATATTCATTTTGGTAGCCATTTTGGTGACCATTTTGGATTTTAATATGAGGAAGATTAAGATGACTTTGGTAAAGGCTAAATTGAAACCATTTTCCCCTGAAACCTAGTTTCAGATATCTATTACGTACATTACTTTTCTAACTTTCATACTTTTTCTATGTGCATATAAATTCATTTTACCAGCCATATGTTGTTTTGCCATTTCAAATTTCTATATAAAGGTATTCTTTAATCACTTAGATTTATCCATGAATGGAATCTGTATTAACCTCTACAACTTTTTAACTGTTCTTTGAGTTTATATAAATAGTTTACATATTCATTTTGGCACTCATTTTGGTGGCCATCTTGGAATTTCATACAAAGGATTTCTATTATTACTTAAATTTAGACACAAATAAAATCCTCAGCCTCTAAAACCTATTCATGGTCTCCAAAGTCACTTTTTAACCGTTCTTTGAGCTTTTTTTTAGCTTATATCAATAGTAACATACTTGTTCGAGACCCATTTTGGTGGCCATCTTGGATTTCCATATAAAGCAATTTTTTGATGACTTAGATTTTGACATAAATGAAATCCTTGACCCCTAAAACCCAGAAAGAGACTCCAAAATCACTGTTTTTGCCTCTCATTATACTAAGATATGATTTCTTTTATTTGGTAAAAAGTGCTATAGCAGCCATTTTGAAAAATGGGCGATAACACCCATAAGCTACCACTCCTGCAATGTTATCACATATTTTCTTACTCTGGAGGTATTTGCCTTGCCAAAAATCACTATGAGCATTATTCCCCTAACTTGGTAACAATAAGCTAAATTTTGGGGTGAAGCTGATGGCCTAAGAGAGTCACTTGTTCAAAAAAAAGAATATGTAAAATTAAACATAATGGCATAGACATATCTGATGGAATATGGGAATCCCTTTTTCATTGTACAAAAGAAGCATCATTGTTAGTTATACAATGGAAGATTTTGCATAACATATACTAATGGTACTTATCTGAAAAAATGTAAAATAGAAAATAGTGATTTATGCAAACAATGCAATGCAAGAGATGATAACTTACATTTTTTCGTTACTTGTCCTTCTATAAGTATTATATGGCAAGGTAGCCAGTTAAACGATAATGAAAAGTTAGGTCTGACTGAAATGAAGCCAGATTTATTTTACGAAACGCTCATCATTAAGAAAACTATTCATGATTTCAAATATAAGAACGGTGAAGGAAATGTATTGTCTTTATACGAGAGCGAAAAAGCTCTCAGATTGTAAATATTTTGTAATGTACATGTAAATATGTTATTTGGAATAAAAAAAAAATCAACATTGGCATTACTGAGTTGCCTATGGGATATTTTTATGGTTTTTATAATTGTTATGATTGTGTTTGAATCAACTGTAATTGAACTTGGCATAATAAGATTATATAATGAACAGAATGAACCATTATATAACCTCATATTATACACTGACACCATTTTTTATCAACCTGAATATTGAAGAATTTTGAACAATTTTAAGTCATGTTAAAAGGTAAATGTTTGCTTACCGCTCACCTGGGTTATGTTCTGTGCTAGGACTGGTGACAACCTCTTCCACAAGAGAAGGGAAGATCTCTTCAGTATTGGCATTCACCAGGTTGTTAGACTTCACACTTTCGAGATTTTCAACAACAACTGGAACAATAGGACACATGCATTTTGAATGGAATGATGAATGAGAGCATTTTTTCACTAGTGTTGGACATACATTTTTACAAAGACCCCCCACCAAGTGGCCTGGGATTTGTATTTTATTCTGACTTTAAACCATTCGCGTGACCTAAAGACTGCCTTTATTCCCTTATATGGTAAACCGTCAAGGTAAATATCAAGTCGTCATACGATGCGATTACAAATCGATTTTGTTTCCAAGTAATGTCGTCATGTGACATCACCGACGCATCCGCCATTGCTCTCAAGTTTGGTCTGAACGGGTAAGCGAATTTTAACATTTTAAAGTCTGATTTGTGTATTAATAACTGGATTTCACTTCATCTTGATTGTAGAAATGAGTAGAATGGTAAATTATGATTGTGCTGAATCATTATTCAGGCTAGAAGTGGTGAAAAAAATCTAACTAAATGAAAATATATACGGTAACAAAATTATTTAAATACGCGCTGTTTTGAACTTTATTAGGAATCACATTAAATTGTGTAAGATTGTCCTTCCCTGCCGTGGGAAGCCACGCCTTCTCCATCTCCACCTCAGGGACGCTATGCAAACTGTATACGTCATTCTTATAAAGTTTAATTGATTTATCTTTCTAGGGTATTGGATTCCGTAGTATTTGACTTCGGTCTAATCATTGGTTTTTGAGTATTGGGGTTCGAACAATACTTCATATATTTTTATGTTGAGGACGGGGGTTCGTCCAGATGAAACACACAATGGAAGATCATACCGCCGTATTCTGCTTTAAACTATATATGTGCTTGAATTCTGCTCCAAGTCAGATAAACGAATGCGTTCATAGCGTACTAATTGTACTTATATACTGTTACGTAAATCATGAAATTAACGGGCATATCAGGAGTTCTACGATTGTTCACTGTATTTAGCTATACGCCTATTTTTGTTATCATCCCACTGGCGGATCCAGATCCATCTTGCCCCCCCCCCCCTTTGTAGGACCCCAAAAATTGTTTTACTCGAAAATTACGTATGGCCTCAAATATGAGTCTTTTTGGGCATGATTTGGCATTTTTAGGCCAAAATTTTCAAAGAATCAAAGAATGGGGTCTAAATTTTCATCTGGATCCGCCAGTGTGGTCAAAGTTGTTAAATTCAAAAAGGCCAAATAATTGCGATATTGAATGTGCAACTTATCACAGTACACCTCTCCCGACGAGTGACACGTGTTGCTAAAAACTATCTAATCCTGCACATAGAATGCATGCATAATACAAAAAATGCTGGGATTGAAATGGTATCGTAGTGTAAGCCAATTTACTGACTGAATTACTCAGTTGGAGTAACAATTCCCGGGGAAACTTTCCCGGGGACAGATAACTATTCCCTCTATTGACTAAACTAGGTACTATACTCCACTCCACCTTTTGAAAATAAGGTACTCATATATATATAATAAAATTTAAATAAAAACATAAGATGACTTCATTTCGTTGCAACTAGTTTCTTCAAATCCTCAGGCAATATATATACATATATATACCAGATGGTAAAATGATTGGTGTATACAGTTGGACCTCCATATAAAGCTTTACCTGCATGTGTGTGGAACAATTGACCGCAAGCATTTTTTAAAATAATTGGCTGAGTAGGAACAGTATCCAATCAAATACTTTAACCATCAATTTGAAACACCAATCAAACCAGTAGGTTCTAGCAATTCCTGGAAACGACCCATTCAGTAGCTCAACAAATGACATACAGGGTGTTTCATAAACGAGCATCTCAAAAAATCAATCTGAGAAGAGATATGTCTATAACACACGTATTATATATGAGCCTATTTTATTCTAGACAAACACATTTGGATCAACTAATAAACATGCTACAATTCAAGAAAGAAAAAATGTCATCCCTTTGACCTTTATTTATTACAGTCCGAGAAGATCTTTCCTGACGAAAAGCCCACATTATGAAACACCTTTTACGTTTGCTTATAAGTATACGTTATAAGTTGTACTTTCACGCCGTGCGAAATCTCTCTATTAACAAACTTTGATTTAGCGGCAGAAAAGAAGGTTTATAATATTGCCTGATCCTTTAATGTTTCACTGCAATGCTTTCATTAGATTAGGGACATTCCATACCCTTTTGCGCTGTGGGACTTTATAGAATCTTAGATATATGCAGTTCAATTAATGATAGTGGAAAACATTTAAACAAGGCCTTCAGAGTTTATAAAGTCATGAATTGGAATCCTTGTTGATTTCAAAATTCAATAAATCTGGAGGGTATTCTGCTTACTTATCGTATAATCTGTAAAATGAAACCCTCTGATTGGTCAGTTCTTGTGCTGTACCAATCTGTATTGCTTTTGAGATTGTCCTCATTGATCACACCGTAGCAACACAGAAAATATTGGTACAGAGGGGACAATCTCAGTAGCAATACAGAATATTTAATAGGAATTACCTCCTGAGTAAAATGTATTGGTCTAAGACCACACGATAAAAACGTTATAGAATGATTTGAGGTGCAACACAGAATTTTTCGAGCAGAACATATACTGTATTCCATTTCAAATCATTCAATAACTTATACTACTGCTACTTCAACTAAAGCCTTAGTTAATATTGAAAACAATGAGTTATCACAAAGTACCAAACGTTCAAGAATGACATGAAGAATGGAAAGTTTGGAAAGACTGTCCAATACTGAGTTACATATCAGAACGTGATTGATATATCAGTGTACTTTGAAACACCAGAGAATGAAACATCAGCCAGTTGACGAAATGTGTTTGGAAATTTGGCTACTTCTTAAAGGACATGTTGCCACTAACACTTTCACTGTTTTGTAAGTTGTGACACACCCTTCTCCCTGGATATAACTGTAATCTGCATTTTGCTAAGCACCATAGAATCTGTCCTAATGGGCTTTCCATGATTTTATGGCTCTCCATGAGTTTTTATTATTAACTGAATAGAGTTTCTTCACCTTATTTGGGCGCATCAAATGATTTAGTATTGATCCTAATACAGGCATTTAACAAATTCTTGATAAGCAATAGCTCCTAACACTGGGTGGATTTTTTTACTTGATTAAGTGGTGGAAGTTCTGATGATATCACTCCCCCCAGTTTTCTGCAAGTTAAAATGCTAAATTCTGCAAGTGAAATTAGTGAATTCTGCAAGGGGAAAAGGCTAATTCTGCAGAAATTCCGCGGAAAATATCGTGATAGATATAATTAAAACGGGAAAATTTCATGATAGTTACATAGGCAGTCACTACGTCACTACTCAATACATGCTGCCATCTAGCGACAGAAATCAAATGACGAAGTTTAAAACTTTCACTTCGCATAATTTGGTAATTTTTGGGTTATTTCTACAAGGGATTTGACTGAAAACGTGTGAAATTGTTGGGGAAATTGTTACAGGTAAGACTGGCTATTCAAACTTTTGGAAAATATATCGATTCCGCGGAAAATTCCGCGGAGATTGACCAAAATAGTTGATTCTGCAATTCCGCGGGCAAAGGCAAATTCCGTCCGCGCTCTGCAAACACGGAATCCTGGGGGCAGTGTGATATGCATATAGGAGTCTTGATTCTGTGATATCAAATGGCTTGATAAACACCACCAATCTGCACTCATGATACATTAATAGTACCGTACAGTACCATTCTATTATGGTGGTGTACAGTGTCCATGGTACTGTACAATACTATTTTAGTCTATGGTACCATATATTACCGTACCATACAGTACCATAGCCCAAACAGTATCATATGATACTGTTGGAGATACACAACTGTATGTAATTTTACAGTACTGTTGCCTATGAAGTTGTCAAAACGTGAACTGTTATCTTCATCAATGATCATCATAAACAACATGTTTGGGACTGAACTTTTTACACCAGAAAGGAACTTTGTGTGCCTGTTGATTGTTGGTTGTACTGTTGAGGATTTGATTTGGACAGCATTGTACCTACCCTGTGACCTCCTTTCATGGTACATATCCCATCATCTAGCTAAGATTTGACACCAGGAAATATTGTATCTACGCTAAGCAATGTCTGAAGATATATTATATTGTAGCCAGCATGGTTCTGATGATCAAAAGTGATGAAGAGATGAATGAGTTATGGGAACAAGAGTAGCAAAGTCACGACAGGTAGATTGTTTTCTTTTGTTGCTCTAAAGAAAATCTACAAGTCTACATGAATTCACAAAAGGACTGCGAGATGTTTGTAGAATGAATCGGGGGAGTTTTTTCATGCATTTCAACCCAATGAGGTGTGTATTAATGATTAACTTTCCTGTTATCTCAAAATCTGCTTGGATACCATAGGATTGCTAGATGAAATTCCTCAGAGAAAATTCTAGGAAATAAGGAATGGGTACCATTTACACAATTTGAGAAATTATTGGCATTTAAATCATGCGATTTAATGTTGATTTAAAACTGAATTTGCTATGAAAATGCACGAAGACCTAGTCCATGTAGTTGAAGATCTGATTCTGTAATTGATATGAATCTCACCCTAGATCTAGCCATTATATTTGATCATTTCAGCGATCTTTCCAACATTTCTTGTTGAAATCTTTGAGTACCTCTTTCATTTGCAGCAGGGAACAGGTGATTTTCACCGGTTGTTTTCACAAAATCACCTGTTGTTTTTAGGGACTTTCCAACTTTTCCACGTTAGCCTTTTAAGAGAAATTATAGTGAAACCATTGCATTATATAATGCATGTTTTCAACAATACATTTCTTACTACATGCTGTAATCTTGAATAATTTGATGCATTGGATTCACTAGTAAATTTTAAGTGCAACTCACCTTTTGGTTGTGTCGTCACTGAAGCCTTATGTGTGGGTGGTGCTGATGTTTTCTCTACTGGACGAATAACAAACTTCACGGGAAGGTTAGCCATGTTAGGGTTCAGTGCTGCAAGTGTCTGACCTCCAGGACCCTGAGGTAGGAATGACACTAGCTGTTGGGCTAAAGCAGGGGTCAATGTGATGGGTTGGCCGAGGGTGGGGGCTTGAGTATTAGGGTTAGGGGTAAGACGTAGTATGGTAGCACCTGGAGTACCTCCTCCCTGAACCTGTATAGGCTTAGCCATCAGTTTGCGTAGATTGGGAGCATAGATTTGAGTTCCATCCGTTGTGTTGACTGCAGCACCAGCCACTGTCTGATTCAGTTGTATAGTGGTCCCTATGGTTGGCTGAATCTGCTTGGGAGCAGATACTACATTAGTGGGGGTTAGGGTCACTGTTTTGGTGCTAGATGAGGGGGCAAGTGTCAGTTTGGGATGGTTAGACATTGGGACTACACTTGATGGTGTCAGTGTAATAGTCTGTGGTCTGACAACCATGCCTTGGGGGATCTGCTGTATTTTTTGGACCTGTTGTACTTTTTGGACATGCTGTAGTTGTTGGCTCAGCTGTACTTTCTGCACCTGCTGCAACTGCTGTTGAAGCTGGGAGGTGGGTATGGCCACCATTGTTGTCCTTGACTGGCCCAGACCAGGACTGGTAACCACCTGAGCGGAATTCAGTGCAGAGCTTAACACAGAACTGCCTGTTTGAACTGAGATAGCAGAGGACTGCTGCATTAAGCTTCCTTTACTAGTTATCACCTGATTACCAGGTACATGCGTTACATTACCACTTTGTACCACATTACCACCTTGTAGAACATTTCCTCCTATGAACACTTGATTTGCTTTTTGAGGCAACTGTTTATTCAGTAATATGTGTGCTGATTTCCCCATTTGAACTTCACCTTGAAGGATAACCTGCTGTTTTGCTATTGTCTGAGGCTGGGGGGTGGTGTCATGGGGGGTTTCCCCAGGGGATACTCTAAGGCATTCTGCCTCAGAAGTAGGGAGTTTCCCAGTCATAACTGAGCCAGTTGAGGCTGCTCTCTGAATGGTGACCAGTTGCCCAGATCGTATTGTAAGCACATTGGGAGTCATCTGGCTTTCATCTGTCGCTTCTTCTGTAACAGATTCACCAACATATTCTTGGAATTATTTCGACCTTTTTAAATAATCAATAGGGGTGAGGTGATGACCCACAGATTGAGGCCTTAAGTTGGACCAGTGTCTAATTCAAAAGTTTTAATCATTTTGGGTTGAAAAGAAAAAACTTCCAGTAAAGTTTTAAATATCTAAACTGTAGAACACTTTTTTCAATGAACTTGCTAATTTTTTATGTGTTTGGACAACATGGTTATGAATGTAATAAAACAATACCATGGCTATTGAGAACACATTCTGGGAAGATTTCAATATCATTAATACTTAACAGCAAATTATATTTTTTGGAATATAAAAAGTGGCAGCCATTTTGAGAGGAAGCAACTTGTACATGCTGAAATGTGTAGACATTATTAACGGTAACTGGTCAACTCAACCCCAAGTTAACCCAAGTCATCTCAACATTAAGTCAACTCAATCCTCAGGCAATTAACTCCAAAAATGAATACCAATTAAATACATATTTCATTGTATTGATTATGATGAATTCTTAAAGTATAAGGAAGAAATTGATAAGAATTGAATGAAATGTAAATTTACTTGCACAATAAATTCTAAAAGTGGGTTTGATTATGAATTAATTTTAAAATATTTATTCAAAGAGGTAACTTTATAAATATATTTTATGAATATATATTTGTTCACCGAAATAATACTTGTTTAATCAAGTAAAACTGAATTAACATATTTTATGGACTATGATTGAATCAGGGATTGAATGTTTCACACCCTTCATATTGTAAATTGCCTAGTAATTGGATTAACTTTTCAATATGAAATATTTTAATACATGTATCCCTTTCTCAAAGGACAGGTGGCGGTAAACCCCTCTTTTAGCCCCCCTACAAAACAAGTATATATTGACATGGAATTGAAGAGGAAGTATGACTTATTGCTTAAAATGTGATTTCTGATTTCTGACACTTGACCTTGACATTAGGGTGGGTTAAAGGTCAACTTTGAAAGATGCTATTTTGTCAAAATTTTGCTGTTTTCTAATACAAGAAATGAAAGCAATTGGCTTAATTTTGATTTTGACTGATAACAAGACATGTGAATGGAAATAAAAATATTTTTGATAAATTCTCACGGGCAATTACATAAAAATCTTGAGAAGAAATCCCCATATGGGCATTTTTGGGGGGACTAAATTTTCCTGTTTCAAAAATTAATGTTCTTGTTGCCTTTTGAGACTCTAACAGTATGCTAATATAAGCATGTTTTAAGAGTTGGGATGTGATTATTATTTTAAATGCCCATGACATGGGCATTTCCAATGTAGATGCCCATTGGCATCTACATTGGAATTTGAAATTAAATGTCTGTATGGAGACTTAGTTTTAAAGTTATTTGCCAATTTACAGTTCCCATATCAGGCCTCCTAGACTTCCAACAACGCGAACATCAGTTCTGATACCGCGAACTACGTTCCTTGCACTCGAACCACGAATCTCATATTGCGAACGTGAAATCTTGTGTCGCGCACCACCATTTCCTAGTTTCCGAACATATTTCTTGTACCGCGCACAGAGATACGTTACTGCGAACCACGCATCTGATCGAAAAAAGTCCGTAATTTTGTTCGTATTATTACGCATATGAAGTAAAATTCCAAGGAAGTGTTTTCATATAGAATTCGGAAGAAATATTTTCCCAGTTTTCATGCATGTGAATGAATATCCACTCATTGACGATAACAGTATTTTCAAGCTCTAGGAAACACAAAATATTGGGACTACCTTGCAATCACGCACATTGACTTTTTCAGTGAAAGGGCTGGGTAATAACAACAAAAACCTGACTTTTGAGTAACAACACGTATGGCCAAATTGGTGACAGCTTTTTCCAATTTTGTCCATTTGAGCCGATGATTGCATCATAATAAAGAAATGAGTTACCCTATGTACAATATTCCTGATTTTATAGAATACTTGATGTGCTATATCTGTAGCTCCAGCTACTGATAATTTGAAGATGCTACCCTTTGCCATGAAAACTTAACTTAAATGTTGCCCCCCCCCCCATTACGGCTTGTGGGATTAACTGTTTACATACAGGAAAATAACAATCTATCATCCTGATAAAGATTTTAACACTTGGTTTTTGTTTCAAAACATATCAAATGACTACTTAATCGTAATTTTAGGGTTAGGGCTAAGAATACATCTTTGACCGTCTGAGATAAATGTGTGTTGACGAGTCCTGTAGTTAATTAATCTTGGTTTTAAAACCGAAGCTTTAATTCACTGGTGATCCACTCGATTACGCTGGTTACCAAAACGAACTGTTTTGGTAACAAAATGTTGGAACGTCGAAGGCACGATTTTTCTTTTTTCCTGATTTCACGCGTTGTAGGCAGAATCCCCACGACGTTTTTTCTCACAACGTGTATCTGTATCATATGTTTTAGAAAATGTACATGTTTGCGAAAAAATAGCTCAGAAGACAACAGAATCGTCGATTTACTTCCTCACTTAAGTGACATAAACGGTTTTTCGAAAAACAGTTAAGATCTGCACTTTTAACCCAAACCGTTTATGTAACTTAAGTGAGGAAGTAAATCGACGATTCTGTTGTCTTCTGAACTATTTGTTCGCAAATATGTACAAATTAAACATATGATACTGATGCACGTTTGTGTTCAAAAATGTCGTGGGAATTCTGCCTACAACGTGTAAAATAAGGAAACGAGAAAAATCGTACCTTCAATGTTCCGACATTTTGTTACCAAAACGAACCGTTTTGGTAACCAGCGTAATCGAGTGGATCACCAGTGTAATTGTGGGCTGTTCTGCCCCACCCATGGGCCATTTTGCCCTACTCTCAACATTATTTTCGAACACTCTGAAAAATCACAGAAAATGTGAAATATAATCCCTTCATAAGATGGAACATGAAAGTTCGCGATGATTGACAGATTAGAAAAACCTCTGCACGGATCAAATTATTATGAGGGCCATTTTGCTTCATGTTCCCAAAAAATTCCTGACTTCAGCAACCAGGACGATATCTGACCCAAGACATGTGGAGCGCTGAAATGTCGGACCCTTTTTTCTGGGCCCATCTCAGAGGGAGGGGCGGGCCAGTGCATCTTACACAGAATACAGCCATAACTGATTACTACAATGTAGGTGTACTGTATAAAAGTAAACCTTGTAGTTTAAGGTCGCATGATGCAGTGTGACCAGGATCACACTGACCATGGTCAGAATGACCCTAGACATGATGAAATAACTTTTTCAGCCCTCTGAAAAGGTCAATGTAAATAGCTTTAAGTAGGAGCATAGGAAAGGTCAATGAACAGGATCTTTTGAATTTTTCAGAAAATGTGCCCAATATATTGCTCTAAATGATACAATCTTTAAAATTTTAGAAACTTGTCTGAAAAAATGGCGGTCATAAAAAGGAAAAAATATCGCTTTTCAATTCAGTTTTTTTAATTTTTTTCTTTTTTAACGAAAGATAACAAATTTCCCAAGATTGTATCACTGAGAGCAATATATTAGGCACATTTTCTGAAAAATGCAAGAGATTCTGTTCAGTGACCTTTCCTTAGCTCCTACTTTTATTTATTTTTCAGTCACAAATTTCAGAGGGCTGAAACATTAATTTCATCATGTCTAGGGTCAATCTGACCATGGTCATTGTGATCATGGTCATGTAAATGGTATGTGGAACTAGTTAAACTGACTGGAGGTCAAGCAGAACTCTGATATCTTGGTTCAAAAATGTTTGAAATCCAGCATGGTTTTGTCACTTCCTGTTTTGTCATTTCCTGTTAACTACCATGGCACCTAAAACCAGTGTAAGAAAAAAGATTAACTATACAAAAACGGTAGATCATGATCATCGGTGCAACCCGAGCTAGAAGTCACATTTTCAAAAAATATTAAATTTTCAAAGTTGATAAACAATTTTCGAAACTATATTTTTAGATGTATTTTTACATGTAGATTTGAAATATGACATCACTTTGACTGAATTTTGAATATTTAATGCCGTAAATCAAGATCATTTCTACTCGCATCTAGTCTATTTCGTTTCCTTGTTTCACTCCGTTGCATATTGGTATATACAGGGTGATCATTAAGTTCTGGGAATTGGTCTGCCATTTCAAGATTTTTCAACCATTTGAGTTGAAATTTTCAGCAAGTGTACATTGTATAATTTTGAATTGACAAGCAATGTTTCATATACATATCACATCTACAATTTATTTTATTGTAATTACAAAAAAAGTAAAATTGGTACGCGGGTCAGCAAATTTTGACTGATGTTAATTTGAAAATTTCCTGCCAAGAGATATTCATCTTGCCTAGATGGTTGCGTCAAACTACTTGTACTGGAGGCAGAACAGTACTATTGAAGTCATTTATTCAGAAGTATTCTTCATTGCTGAGAGGATCATTTCATTTATGATTGTTTCCATTAGCCTGGACGCACATGCGTTGTTAACAAACTTAGTCCATAAAGATGTGTTCCAGTCCTCCCTTTGGTATCCCTTGAAGATTTGCTCAAGCCGTTGAAATCAGTCCCTTATCGGAATCAAACTTATGACCTCTCATATAATGCTTTAGCACCCAAAATGTAGTGAAGCCTAATAGTGCTTCATATGGTGATTATTGTCTGGTGAATACGGGGCAGTAATAACTTGTGTGAACCCTAATTCTTCAAGAGTAGTATGGGCAGCTTGAGTAATGGGAAGGAGCATAGTCATAATGGAAGATAACTCCTCGCTATTTTTAGTCATGATTGTGACTTTGAGATGCTGACGAATGGTACGGAAATAGAGCAAAGTACACTCTTACATAACAATAAAGATGTTACTTTAGAAACTAAAGTTAGAAGTATTTGAAATCCCAAACACTCAGATGTATTATGTACAAATTGTTCGCGGTAATGGATCTCTGTGCGAGGTACAAGAAATATGTTCGGAAACAAGGAAATGGTGGTGCGCGTCATAAGATTTCACGTTCGCAATATGAGATTCGTGGTTCGAGTGCAAGGAACGTAGTTCGCGGTATCAGAACTGATGTTCGCGTTGTTGGAAGTCTAGGAGGCCTGCATATTTGAATTTCAATATATATCATAAAATATAAGGCAGCATCATGTATAAATGGCATGACACTCAAAAGATTGCCTCAAATAATTTCTACTTATTCCCTGTTTAGAAAAACACTTAGGCCATTCAAAATTTTTTTATAATTAATGTCACTAAATTCTATGTTTTCAGAAAAAACAAAATGTCCCCATGTCCCCATAAATGACAGAGGGAATTGTGATCATGAATTATATTGTATTGAAATGAGTTCCAAGATTGATTAAAAACGACATGTATATAAGCTTTAGTATTGTCTTCATTAACAAGGTCATCTGAATCAAGAGGTGTTACTTACTTTTCCACTATGTGTTATTGCATTTTCACTATTAAATAATATATAAAACCCTTTAAATAAATAAATAAATAAATAAATAAAGGTTTTGTAGTTTTTAATATAAGGCCCTTCATCAGAATGCCAACATATAATTAATTTTGAATGGCCTAATATGTACATGCAATTATGTAGTGTACATGTTTGCCCAGGTTAGCAGCCATATTGAAAACATAAACCAGTCAGCCTAATTTTCATCACAAAAGTTGAGTTTTAGTGGTGAGCCCAAACTCCCACAACAATGATATTTGCAGAGAAGCTAATTTACAGTCTGCATTATACAGTTTCAATATCTTTTTTGTGGGAGAATGGGCTGATGGTTAAATTTTCAACGAATGGAAATAAGCACCATGCTAAAACTTGATAACAAAGTGAACAAAAAATGACAATGTTTTCCAGATTTGCATTGGTAAACTTCATACATAGCTTGATTTTTTAATGTTGTACTCCGAATGCTCGTATGCCATATGTTCCATATAATAAGTTCCATGTAATGATAAGTTTTGATATTATTTTGATGGTAAACATAGTGTGTACCCATATTCAGACAGTCTTGTTATAGGGGTTCTTACTGCCAATTTTTCAAAGAAACTGAAAACTAATGCCACTTTTTGAAATTGCACAACTCAAGAAAAAAGGTTTATCTACAACTTGCAATTGGTTTTGAAAGTAAATGGAAGAATGAGTTTTTTGGAAAAAGTCTAAGTTGACCAATAGTCTATTAAATGGACCTGTTCTTTATATCTGCGAAATAAATTCTCATAAACTGAATTGAAGTTAAGTTCTTTGATCCAAAAATAAACTGTTTTCATCACTTAGAAATTAAGACTAAATTTGCAAACAATAATTTCCACATGTTTCTATAATGCCAGAAGTATTGCTCTTTGATCCTAAAAGTAACTTTAAACAACACCTTGAATAAAAATGGTAACAAATTATTTATTTGATTTGACACCAATGTTAAATTGATGTTCTTTCATCTAAGCAATGAATTTATGAATTTTCATGATCCTTTTGATTTGTCAGGTGTCATAAACAATCAGATTTCAATTTTTATGATCTAGTTTTGATCTTCCCTGAGATCTACCATGGTACATGTGACAGAAATGTCTATTTTTAAGGTATCAGCAAGAATATGTTGAATTAAAGTTTTAAGTTCTTTGATTCAAAATAATCTTTTTACACCACTGAAATTATGCAAACAATAATTTCCAATTTTTCTATTACATCAGTGCTCTTTGGTCTAAAAGTAGCTTTAAAACGCCTTGAATAAAAACTGTCAAAGAAATATTTCTTTATCTGAATTTATGTTTGAGGTTCAAATCAAATCTGTAAAATTTTAATTGTGAATAACTGCAAACCTGCAATAACTAGAGAATCAGCAACTCCATTGGGTTAGCATATCACACCAAACAAATATATTTTGATAATTATAGTGGCAATCTTAAAAAGGATTGATTTTTTTGTTTTTTAGTGCAATTGTTTTTTTGTTCCTTTCTGCCAATTCCTGAGAATGAAATAAAATATCTTTCCGAACATTGTTGAAAGAAAATAGCATATGCAACATTTTCTTAGACATTTCAATGTTAGTTATACAAAGGAAATTTTGATTGATTTAACATAAGGTATTGCAAAAATCACCAAAATAGATAAAAATTAAGATAAACTTTTTATTTCATGAACAAGATATTTTATTTGGATCAACCAAACTTTCCTTTGTACAATTACAATATTGAGAGACACATTGTGTTTATGTCATTTTGTTCCAAAGAGGTTCGGATAGATGTTTCATTTCATTCCGAACAAAAGAAGTCTCTGATGTGTTTTCTAAAACAATATGGAGAATTTTTTTTTCAAATTATATTGTTACCATTCGAAAGATGACTATTAAATTGAGGATGTGTAAAATTTTCAGAATTTTCAGAAATCTTTACAACCTGGTCGAGTCAGAACTTTCATTGGGGTTTTAGGCCTAAACTCAAATTGTGCATTTTCAACCTGTCTCACCACTATTATTTAATGTGTCTTATCTGTATAATTCTCACTCTAACAAGTTCTTTTACCTATTTGTTAAATATCAAAGTCATTAATTCTAACATTAATACAACATCCTGTTGCTTTAATTTACTGTAGTGTGATTGTACTCACCTGAAACAGAAACTGTGTGAGTTGCACTTTCACTGTCAACTGACTTCTTTAGAATCCTGAAGTTGTTATTACCCTGTCTTTGCAAACGTGCATACTCTGAAGAAAACAGTGCAACAATCCCTCAATCCTAGGTTTCTGTATGTATAGGGTTTTACATTTTCCTTATATCTTTGTCATTTTAGAAAAATATCTCCCTGATATTTTACACATTTGTAAAATATTTCTTACCAGCCTCCTATATTTCGTGACCAACAGATTGATAGTCACAATGTTGCAGCACTTCAAAGAACATCCCAAAGTGGTCACTATTGCGCTATGCAAACCTGTACACATCATCTAAAATGTCCCTACCTGTGGGGATATGGCAAAGATAGTGTATGAGAATGGCCTCGGGACAGTTGCAGACCTCAGAAGTGAGATCATTCATGTCATTCAGGCCATACCTGCTGAGGAATGCATTCGGGTCATTGACAACTGTGCAGATTTGCCTACAGCCCTATGATGGCCAAACCTGAAGCATGTTGTTCAAAGTGCTGTAAAATTGTGACTGTTGGTCTGATGGTCATGAAATATGGGAGGATATTAGGAAATTGAATGAAGTAAAAATGGGTCAAATATCAGGGAGTAATTTCTTAAAATGACAAAGATATGAGGGAAATGGAGGGTTTCCAGTTTTTTTAAACCAATCACACCCTATGCAGACAGAGCCTGTGGGAAATATTGGGTGCGGCGCAAATGAGCGGAGGGTGTGGAGCTAACGGTCATTTTTGAATTTAAAATTGGGATATTTCTGAAACTAAGCCGTTTTGGGACTTCAAATATACCAAGATATGTGTATTTGACACCAAATATCAATAAAATTGTGAAAATAGTAGTGCAATTCATTTTATAGCGACGCAGTATGCCTTAAACATTTCCCAGACCTATATATTTTGAGACTATCCTTTTAATACTGCGTCCCCAGCATTCATAAAAAATGGTGTTCAAGATACACTACCCATGCAAATTATTTTTGCATCTTGGAAGCCAGGCAGTATCTGTGTGATTTTATAAAAATTCGGAAATGTTCTTCAGATATGAGCCCCCTCTAAATATTGGGTGCGGAGGTACGTTTATGGATCTGAATCCGATATGGCGTTGCTATGGTAACAAAGTAAATATCCCACACCCACTTTTAGGGGCTCTTTTCAGTGTTTGGTCCCTATCTTCGTCAATATTGCTCAGATTTAGGTGAAATTTGTACCAAATGAAAGGTAATGGAAAGAGCAATCAAACAGTTAATAAACCAGAACAACGGCAACGCCAAAGCGTAGCGAATCCCATCGAACAGAAATGGCTGGCATTTTTACAAACGAATAGCAAATATCATAAAAGAACACACCAGAAAGGCCACCATTTTCAAAATGGTTGCTCACTAGCCAAGTTGTCATCAGAAGAAATAATATGCTTTTCAGTAGCCACCTCTAAAATTTTTGAAAAATCGCACATAACTTGTAAAATAACACACATAAAAATGGTGGCCATTTTTCAAAATGGCCGACTACTCCCCAAAGTTTTATTAGACAATGTGCCATGCTTAAAGTATTCACATATCAAATATGAACAAAATTGCTCCACTACTTTTAAACTACGTTAAAATGGCGGCCTTCTACCAAAATTGTCATAGGACAGTGTGCCATGCTTATAGTATTCACATACCAAATATGAACAAAATCGCTCCACTACTTTTCGAGTTATAGTAAAATACATTAAAATGGCGGCCATTTTTCGCCTTCTACCAAAAGTGTCTTTAGACAGTGTACAATGCTTATAGTATTCACATACCAAATATGAACAAAATCGCTCCACTATTTTTTGAGTTATAGCAAAAATCGTAAAATGACGAGTAAAGGCCGCCATTTTTCAAGATGGCTGCCATGTGCTTCTTTAATATCTACATTTGTAGCATTATTAACGTCCTTTATAATTTTTTTACATTTAAAACATAATGATATAACAGTTTTACATATTGCACCTAAATTACTGTAAAATCGGCACTAAAATGGCCACCATTTTGAAATGAGTGGCCATTTTGAAAATCAGCTTCCGAGCAGAACTTTTACCCCCATAAGGTATATGTGTACAAAATATGAACAAAATCGGTATTTGAGTTATTGCCCAGACGGACGGACGGACGGACGGACGTACGGACGGACGGACGGACGGAGGCGTTCCCTATATCCCTCCGAACTTCGTTCGATGGGATAAATATGCAAATAAAGTGATTTGCATACTAATTATGACGTCGTAACCATTAGTTCTTGCACATTTTATTTTAATCATGATGTATAAATCTGTGGAAATATTGTCTTTAAAATGGTCAGTAATGCTTTTAAGTAGTTAATTAGTTTATTTATTTTCGTTGAGTTTATGAGTTTATTTCATTAATACATGTATGGTTATAAAAAATTGAAAAAATGTACTGAAAATATCCAATTCAAGTTGTTGCTATGGTGACAGTATGTTGCAAAACTATCTGCTATAAAAATAATTCTTCGGGAAATGTTACATTTTGACCAGTTGACTGACATGTATTCATTCTAAAATTTGATAGCAGAGAATAACCTAATAACGATATAAACTTTAATAAACGATATCTACTTTAAATTGTGTTATATTATGATGTCATAATGGCAGTTATTAATCAGGGGCGCAGCCAGCTTTCAATCAGGGTGCAGCCAGCTTTCAATGAGGGGGGGGGGTGCGATCTCGGCATAAGCAACTCAAAAAATGTTTAATTTGTCTTAAATTTTACAAAAATCCTTCAAAATTGAGCTAGAAGCTTCAAGTCAAAAGCATTTTAAATCTCTTCTCTTTAATGGTTCTATTTTTATTGGTTAATGGGAGGGGGTGGGGGTTTCCCCATCACACCCCTGGCTATACCTACGTTAGCTATGGTATTCAGGTGAATATTCCGTCCCAAATTTCAGATCTTTTCCAAAGTTTTGATTCTATCAGTTGTCATGATGATAGCTCTGGTTTATATGAAATTTTCATCAAATGGAAACTAAAGAATCAGACAATGCATGGGGAATGTAGATTGACAAACTGGCATACCTGTTATGGTATGACTATCATAGCTGTTTTCATGATTATTTTCTTGAAATAAGCTAAAATTGCTCAAGATGATTCCAAATTGGTACCTTGTCCTTTGACAATGATATTCACCATAAAAGTAGGCCAAAGCTGAAAAGTATGATTGATTTTCATTCTATTTCTTTACATGTATAAAGTATGATCAAGAAATATTATGGGCAATTCTGAATCTGCGATGCCGTTGCTATGGTAACCAAGTAAATATGCCATGCCCATTTTTAGGGGCTCTTTTCAGTGTTTGGCCCCCATCTCCACCATTATTGCTCAGATTTTGATGAAATTCAGACCAAATGGAAGGTAATAGATAATGCAATCAGGAGATATTAAGTTGACAATTCTGAATCAACGATGGTGTTGCTATGGTAACCAAGTGAATATGCCCCACCCACTTTTAGCTCAGATTTAGATGAAATTTGCACCAAATTAAAGGTAATAGATCATGCAGTCAGACAGTTAGTAAACCATGCAAATAGGATGATTTGCATATTGATTATAACGTCATAACTGTTTGTTCTTGCATATTTTATCTTAATCATGATGTATTAATCTGTGAAATTATTGTCTTTAGAATAGTCAGTAATGCTTTTAACTAGTTAATTAGTTTATTTTTTTTAGTTGAGTTTATAATTCTATTTCATTCATACTTGCATGGTCATAAAAACTGAATAAATCTAAAAATGTATTGAAAATCTCCAATTTATGCTGTTGCTATGGTTACAGCACGTAGCAAAACTATCTGATGTAAAAATAATTCTTTGGGAAATTTTACATTTTGACTAGTTGACTGACCCATGTATTATTTTTAAAATATGATGACAGAAAATAATCTTATAAGTATAGAAAATTATTTAATTTAAATTGTGTTATATTATGCCATAATGGCAATTATTAATCAGGGGTGCAGCCAGCGTTCAGTCAGGAGAGGGGGGGGGGGGGGGGGATTTCGATTGTGGCAAACAACTAAAAATGTTTTAAAGATTTGTTTTGAATTTTACAAAAGTTGATGCAACTTCCTTCAAATCTGAGCTAGAAGCTTCAAGTCAAAATGATTTTGAAGCTCTTCTTCTATTTCATGGTTCTATTTTTTTGTTTATGGGGGCGCACCCATCGCACCCCCTGGCAATGCCTATGTTAATTCAATATGATGTTGCTATGGTAACTAGGTGAATATGCCATCCCCACTGTTCAGGGATTTTCCAAAGTTTTGCTTCTATCTTTGTCATGATTACAGCTTGAGTGTATATGAAATATTCATCAAATTAAAGCTAAAGATTCAGACAATGCATGGATTATGTCAATTGACTGACTGGCATACCCATTGTGGCATTAATAGCTGCTAATGGTTTTGAAATCCGAAAAATATGTTCGGTGTCAATTTACATACAAAAATATCATTTTATGCTAATGGTTTCGAAATCTGAAAAATATGTTCAGTGTCAATTTACATACAAAAATATCATTTTATGGTATAGGTCAATACTCTAATTGATTTCATCTTTTAGGTCATGTAGACATAACTGTACCAATTTTGAACCGAATGGTCGGATGTCGGATTTCAAAACCAAAAGCATATCTGAAATCAGGGGCTTCCATACTTCATACTTGTAACGAAATGGAATCAATCATAGTTTTCAGCTTTGGCTTAATTTTATGATGAATGTCAAAGGACAAGGTTCTAATTTGGAACCATTTTGAGCAATTTTACCTTATTTCAAGAGATAATCACAAAAAGCAGCTATGATACTATAACAGGTACTGTACTCCTGGTATTTTTCGCCTGCTATTTAGTTACGTGCTTGGTAAAATCGCAAAAATTAATCTTAGCGAAATTGTGAAATAAATCCCGGGGATTTGTAAAATTTATTATTACATTTCGTGTTTTGTAAAATGTTTGTCAAGTGTTTTTAGGCGATTAATGGAATAGTTAGTACCAATGTCTATTACAGTGGAATCATTTTGAGCAATTTTACTTTATTTCAAGAAAATAATCACAAAAAGGAGCTATGATACCATAACAGGTACTTAGTATGTCAGTCAGCCAATCTACAATATTCATGTATTGTCTGATTCACCAAGCATATTCACCTAATGGTTACCATAGCAACATCATATTGGATTAACATAGGCAGTGCTTAGGGAGATGGGGGTGCGCTGGGTTCACCCACCCCCTAATAACCAATAAAAATAGAACCATTAGATAAAAGAAGACTTTCAACTTGAAGCTTTTTGCTAAATTTTTTAATATTCAAAACCTACGTATCCTATAAATACTTTTGGGTTGCCTGTGCCACGATCTCAGGCCCGTTCTGACTGTAAGGCAAACTTTGAGAAACTTGTCAATCACAAAACCTGCTATTGACTTTATACATGAGGAAGTTTCCTGAAAATGATTAAGTCCTACTTTTTGTCAAATTTTATAGAGTAAACACCAAAAACTGTAATTCCAAGAGCTTTGAAATCTTCAGAGGACATAAGTTGCATATACAGCAACTACTTAAAGTTATTTGAAAGTTCTACTTCAACAAAGTGTCTAGTATTTACAGAAAATTTGACTTTTTGACGTCAAAATCCGCAATTTCTCGGAAACCGGGCGAACTTGGAAAATGGCGACAATAAGTCAAATAGGCATTATGGATATGCATAAAATGAATGTGGATATGACTCAATCCGAATAGCAGTTTTAATTTGTGCGGCCAATGTGTGAGCCAAAAACTAAGAAGTTCCAGATTTTCATACTAAGAATCATCCCTGAAAAAATTAAAATTGATCTTCCAAACAGTTCTCCGGAAAACCCGTAGACAAGACTTTACAGACAAGATTTTAGGATGAAAAACTCAAAAATGGCCGACAATAAAAAAGTGATTGTTAAAGTTTACAAGTTTATCAAGCTACAAAATAGTTTAAGTATGAAAACTCAAAAACACGATTCAAATATGATACAAAGTATCGCACGCTTACTTTTCTTAACCCTTACATATAAATGATCAAAACCAATAATAAAAAGTTTCAGACTTTCTTTGAAAAATTTGACTGTCAGTGTGTTTATTGATATAGAATCCTACAGAGCATCAGAAAGCTCATGAAACTATATATTTTCTGAATGCTCTAGCCATCAACTATTCAGAAATGACATAAAATGGTATATTAGACAGCTGGTATGGGTATGGTAGTTCATCAAGTCGAATTGAAAAGCGAAAAATATACTTGATTTTGCTGTGTCACAAAATAATCTGTAACACCTTGTATAACCCCATGTAATTGCATGTCAGCAACATAAATTGGTCAGTATAAATTTGTAAACTCACCCACTACTAGTTACTATGCAAGTCTGAATCATCACTTTTCCCCGGCACATCACTTATAATATGCAATGCTCCTTCAACACACACTCGTAGACATCCATTGGACGCCATTTTGTTACTCAAAATCTGTCTTTGAGTGCAAAATTGTTGTAATAATTGATGAAAAACGAACTTTTCTTGCAATAAACTCAATTTTGGTTAGTTCAGTGTAAAATTCAAGGTCACATCTCAGAACGAGGCTAAGGGAGGGATATCCCCTTTTTTAATATGTCTGCTTATTACAAATGTAAACAAGGAATGGAAAGCGCGCCTCAGAAGCGTGGTTGATCATTTAAGGGTTAAAATATTCATAATGGCTGCCATGGCTGAGCTAACAGGTCCAAAACCTCATCAGATGAAGTGAGCAACTGTGAAGCCGTTTTTCTTTAAGTTTCCAGACAAGGATTTTAGCATTTGACTTCAAAATGGCTGACAGGAAGTAGGTATTGATTTAAAAATTTTTCATCCACATATGTATGCACTCAAGTTATCCCTGAAAATTTGAAGGCGATATCTATAGTGGTTTTGGACTGCCGGACATACGTACGGACGGACAGACAGATGCGCCTAGGCTGACAATATGGCCCCACACTATGTGGTGGGGACATAATAAGGCCTCAGATGAGCAAGTACTTCACATTTCTAAAAGGACAAAGTATTTTACATGAACCAAATGAGCAAGTATTTCATATTTCTAAAAGGACAAGTTTTTTACATAACCAAAAGTGCAAGTATTATACATTTCTCAAATGATAAGTATTCTACATAACCCATTGAGCAAGTATTTCATATACCTGAACAAGTGCAAGTATACAACATACCTAACTCAGCTAGTTGCTCAGCCTTATGTTTCTCACTGGCCTTCTTGATCAGCTTTGAGATAGATTTACCATCTAATTTTCGTTTTTCATTCCGTATCTTGTAGACTCTATATGCTTTGTGGCCCACTGTAAAGCTAAGTTGTTTCACTTCACTGATGGTCTGGAGACTATTTAAAGCACATCTAAAGTTGACTTTCCATTGTTTGGCATTCACTGTTGGACCACCCTCTTTATATCGACCTAAAATCAGACATTACTTAGTGCTTAATAAGACATAACTTAGAGCATCAAACAAGACACAAGGTAAACAAAAATAGCACCCTCAAGCGGTACTAAGTTCGACCGTAAATTTGAATTTCTGACCTAACAGATGCTTGAAAATCAAGGATTGCAAGTCTCATTCTGCAATTGTTTTTCTTCAAACTTGTTCCATTCAAAGCATAACAAAAACGCCTTTCTGTTGGTATATTATTCTGTTATACAGAATATAATCCCTCCTTCCAGAAGCATTTTGGTCCCTAGATGTGAGAAACGCACCGACAGAAAGGCAATTTTATTTTGCTTTGAATAGAACAAGTTTGAAGAAAAACAGTGCAGTATGAGTCTCGCAATCCTTGATGTTCAAACATTTGCTAGGTCAAAAATTCAAATTAACGGTCGAAGTTACTTCCGCGTGACCCTTGAAAGCTGTAGACAAGCCTTGACGGACAAATTTTAGGACAGAATATTCAAAATGGCCATCTTAAAAAAAGGATGTTGCAAAAAAGCACTATCAAGACTTTCTAACTGGTCCTCTGATCAATGGCACAAATCCAGTCAATAATCCAAATAAACCCCAATAAGTTATAAATGCCAGTGTTCCTCAAGGTTCAATTCTTGGTCCCCTTCTATTTTTAATATACATTAATGATCTACCAGACAACTTCAATTCTAAAACTTTCATGATTGCTGATGATATGTCACTTTATGATGCTCATGACAAAAAACCTTGATATGAGATTAAACATAAATCAACCTTTCCAACAAGATCAAACTTGATCGATGGAAAATGGAGGATGCAATTGTGCTGATCTAACCTTTTATTGAACTCAAATAGCAGTTGAGACTTCATTAACAGGGGTTTCCTTAAGATACAAATTGCCACTGGAAAATTAGTCTAGCAACTTCGAAAATTTGCTGGTCAAATTTGCTGGACCAGCCAAATTTTAGCTGAACAAATTTTTTTTTAGACATTTTGGATGTTTTAACCACTAAATGTTAATTGGCGCACAGTGATATATTGCATTTTGTGTCGCAAAAATCAAATACAGACTGCAAAATACTATAAATTCTGTTTGCTGTTGACTGAAAATGACTGGCCTTTCTATAAATACATAAATGTGTACTCTTAAATATTATGTTCTATTCCTATGAATATGACTCTGGTAGGAGCAATAGTTCAAGCCATACCAACGAAATGTTTTCTTGTGCCTCTAGAAAGCTTCCTCATGTGGCCCATGTTCCTGGGCCCATGCATGGATGACAAATGGAATGATCCCTATATTACTGTACCGACATGACAGAATTGAGGCAGGTGTGTTCAGTAATCCATATAGTAAGCTGCATGGAACTTGACGGTCTGATGCTAAGTAACTACTTACTTCTAAATGCACATTTAATTGCATAATATATCGTATTGGGAAATTATATCCAATAAACTAGAACAAGACACACAGTGATAAATATCGCACTTTGAAGAGGAAACTGGCCACCATGCAATTTACCCAGCATGGCCAAAACCTAATCAGACCTTGGCACTAGTCTGCTCTTGCATCTGTAAACATTTCAAGTTGACAAGGTTAGCGGTTTTCCTGCAATTTTGATGACAAGAATTGATTTGTAGTCTCAAACTTTGAGAAACTTGGATAACATCATTTGTGACCTAGTTTAATGACCTTGACCTTCGACCTTGAAAATTTCACTCTTGCATGTGTAAAAATTTCAAGTTGAACAGGTAAGCAGTTATCCTGGAAGCTGATCTAAATTTAAATCTGAAATATCAATTTAGAAAATCAACTTTTTGACCTTTTCAAGGTCACTGAAGGTGAATGAAAGGTCAAACCTGTGACCTAGTTTAATGACCTTGACCTTCGACCTTGAAAATCTCACTTTTTCAGACCTCAGTAGGTGTTTTGTAATTAAGCTGACCTAAATTTAAATCCAAAATATCAATTTAGAAAATCAACTTTTTTGACCTTTTCAAGGTCACTGAAGGTGAATGAAAGGTCAAATCTGAAATCTAAGGTCAGATTTGAACTTCTGAGAACTTGTAGATGTTTTTAAAAAAAAAATTGGTCAATTTGGAGCAAGTTGAAAAATTCAAAATGGCTGCCAAATTGAAAAATTCAAAATGGCCACCATGTAATTCAGCCAGCATACCCAAAACCTATTCAGATCTTGGCAATAGTCTGCTCTTGCATCTGTAAAAATTTCAAGTTGAACGGATAAGTGGTTTTCCTGGAATTTTGATGACAAGATTTGTTGAAAAATTCAAAATGGCCACCGTAGTTTACCCAGCATGCCCTTAACCTAATCAGATCTTGGTACTAGTCTGCTCTTGCATGTGTAAAAATTTCAAGTTGAACAGGTAAGCAGTTATCCTGGAAATTTGATGACAAGATTTGGTTTATGTGCCGCCCGCCCGCCCAACAGCACAAGATGACGACAATATAGCACTTTTTCAAAGTGCGATAAAAACAGCAACTCCAGGAAATAGCAAATCCCACCGAACAAAACATATATTTTTTTTCTATGAATGTTCATCTCTCTGGGATTTTCTTTCTCAGAGATACAGGGTGTTCCAAAAGTAACAGGACTGGTACTGGCATTTTGTCAATTTTGCACTGAGTATCTTCAAATTTTCACAAATTGTACTTTGAAGTATTGCAACTAAAATTGTAAAGTTTCAGAAAAAATACTGTAGATTGGGTTAATTTGGCGCTACTTAATTTGGCGATTTTGCCATTTTTGGCATATTGGCGGCTATTTAATTTGGCGGATATGCAAGAAAATTAACTTACGCACTGTTTTCGAATTACCATGTAAATGGATAAGTTTGGCTACAGTTGGGGACAAAAATAAATGACAGGTCGATTTTCGATCACCATTTCCTAATTATGGTGGTCTGAAAGCCCATAATTTCAAATATTGTCTAGATACATATCCCTTAAAATTTGTATATCTTACATTTTGTATATTCTCATCCACTGATTTATGGCCTCTTGTAAATTCTCTTATTTTTAACATGGGAAATCCTCACTTCAGCAAATCCACCTGTCATTTATTTATGTCCCCAACTGTATGTCCATTTTTCTTTTGAGGACCACTGGCGATCATCCTTTACATTTTGCACCTCGATCGATGCTGCTACTATACCACGCTTTTCCTTTCTAGTTTTTCCCTGAATATTAATGAGTGACTGACCAGTTCTGAGCCAATTTATGAGAGACATTTTTCATATTTTTGAAAGAAACTAAACCGGAAGTGACCTAAATACACTGGAGGAAATACTCTAGATAATTCCTGGGGATTCATTTTAAATTTTGGCGAAGATTTATATTGGCGAATTTTTCAATTTCGCCAAATTCGCCAAATTAAAGCGGGCGCCAAATTAACCCAATCTACAGTAATGAAATGCCCCCAGATTTATGGTTACTATAGTAACATGACATTCCAATACCTGGGGCAACTTTTTTCCTAAAAATGTGATATCTAACATTTTTGTATAACTGAAGAAAGTATCTAATTCACCTATTTTGATACAACATTTCTGGTTTATTTTATTAGTTGCTTTCTTGTAAAGATGTTGCTATACAACTCAGATTCAAGTATACTTGTATAATGATAATAATATTTATTCAATTTCCTGGAATATCACTATGTATAACAGTCTGAACAATTCACAGTTGAGTTTTTGAAAAGACACAATTTGAAGCCAGTCATCCACCTTGATAGCACGCCTGCCCCCAGGTCACCATTAAAGACCATGCAGCTAAAGAGGAGCTAGGTCTTGAGGTCTAAAACCATGCACCATGCTCTTCTGATCATGCAATATCTAATTTTTACTTATATTGAGAACGGGATGCTAATCAGTGCTATAAGACCTTTAAAGGTGAGAATGACCTTCTCAAAATTATCCAATCGACCCTGTGACATGTCCTCAAATGGGTTCACTCATGTGTTTGGGTCATGGATACAGAGTACCACTCTTGTACTGACAAAAGAGGGGCCTATTTTTCAAAGTAGAGGATACATAGAAATATCAAATGATGTAAAAGAAATGTAATTCCCACCAGTTGTTGCATTTCAACTTTGGTTATGGCATGTACAAAATGATATGGGATGTACAAAATCCTTAATGTCTCTGTGACTTTTTGCGTGGAATGTTGCCCCGGGTATTGTGATGTCATGTTACTATAGCAACCATAACTCTACCTGATTTTCATATATTTTGTCGAAACTTTTCAGTCTTAGTAACGATACATGAAAGTACACCATGTAAAATGTTGAAGATGATTGGTGCATATTTAACAAAATACCAGCACCAGTCCTGTTACTTTTGGAACACCCTGTATTTATTTTTCTTTTTTGACGTTTTGGTATGTTGTGTAATATATATATATCTTTTCTTAGTAATGTTTTTAATTGTATATTACATCATTGAAGCTTTTTATGGTAACGGTTGCTATTTTTCTCAATAATTTTTTAATTGTAACATCAATGAAGTTTTCTATAGTAAGGGTTGCTATTTGTCTCATTGTTATGTAATAATTAATTATTTCAGTTTGATTCAAATATAATTTTATTTCTGAAGAAGTAGGATGGACATCCTACGAAACGTCAAAAAGAAAAAAAAAATATCTCTGAGAAAGAAAATCAACAACTTTAAAACATATTTTGCTTATTAGTGGCCATCTTGAAAATTCATTCTTGAGCAGAGCTTGTTTGTCCCTAGACATCAACCATATCTGTCAATTAGCATTTGAGTTATCAATGATTACATTCCTTTTTTTAAGAAAAAAAAATGACAGCCATTTTGAAAATCTTTCTCAAACAGCTACTTTGTCCAATAGGCATCAGCACAAAAAATTTGAACAAAATCCATTCACAGCTATTTGAGTTATCAAAGATTACGTTTTTCAAAAAATGGCCACCATTTTGATATTTAGCAGCCATTCTGAACACCTCTTCTTCAGGGTAGCTTCAGGACAGACTGACGGAAGGACTGACGAACAGACGGATGGCTTCACTATATCCCTACTGAACTTTGTTCCTTCGGATAATAATAGAAAGCCTTGGACTTGATTATAAGACATATACAATATTACCCTAATTGAATATACATGTTATCTTTTCTACCAACTTGCCTGTGTGTACAGCCCATGCTTTGAAGACAGAGTTTTCTTTCTCAGCCCTCCAGCAGTTAATTCCAGAATGCACCCAAGGTATCTTAATCATTGTCTTTCTCTTATCAAACCAGGCCAACTCAGGAATTTCTCCTTTGTCTGTCTGTTTAATCAACCATGAGAGCAGCCCATCGTTGTCCTGGACTTGAGGACGTACAGGCCTGAAATATGATCCTATTAGGTAATTTCTGCAATAAATAGGGGCAAACTGCTTCTCTATATTCCCCCTGGAACTTTGTTTGGTGGGATAATTATCCCTGGGTGCATTAATAATAGAGTTTCATTCACAACAGTCGCCACTTTGGAAAGTACTAGGGCTCTTACAAATAAATAAGCAGCAGACTAGTTCAGTTATCTCAAAAAGACTAGTAAAGAGAGAATTAGATAGAGCGAGCAGGCTAAACAAAAAATTGTTTCAATTTTAGAATATTTTTGGCTCATGTCATTCCTTGTCATGTCTGTTTTCTAAAAATCACAAAAGTGCATACTTTATTCCAGGAAATATATAGATTTTTACAATAATGTATTATTTTTCTATAAGAATGGTTACCATTCTTATTATTTGGGAGAATTAACATTTTCACTCATTTTTGCACTTTGTATCATTAATAACTTCACCAATTTATAACATATTGTGAATCTTTTGGGAGATATTGTATTTGATATTGTAAGGAATAGATTGGTAGGTCAATTATTCATGTTGCTTATAATTCTGTCACCCCCTATAGATCAGATTCTGCCTTAATGAATAAAAAGCAACATACTTGACTCCTTTAGCAGCCTCCTGTTGTGCCAGCCTCTCTGCACGCACCTTGGCAGCTTCATCATCCGCCAGTAGTCTGTAGACCCTGTATGCCTCACCCCCCTGTTTCACCCCCATGGTAGACACAAGCTGGATGTCAGGCAGGCTGTTAAGAGCACATCTAAAGTTTGCTTTCCATTGTTTAGGGTTTGGTTCCTCTCCTTCTAAGTACTTTCCTGTAGCCAACAAACATTGAGGGTTAACAAAAAGGAAGAGTATGTAAATAAATGTATTTCTTATATTTTCAAAATTAGGAATCTATGTAAACAAACAGCAATTTCTGTCATAAGAAGTGGATAAAATATGCAAATAAATGTTGCATGGACCTATTCTTATTTTAAATATAGTTTTAAATAGATGTTAGTGAAAGACTATTTATTTACCAATAGCCTTTGGGCAAAGTGGCAGAGTATGATATTAAAGGTAGACTATACTGTATAACATTAACTTTATACACTTTGGGACATATACATGAACTTCAGAAAATTGAATTATTTTTTTATCAGGAGTGAGAAGTCTTCATTAAAGAAAATCTAGTATAGGACAAAATCTATAGCCAAGCAAATGTATATGAACCCCTCAACAATAAACTAGATAATAGCAATGGCAAAGCGTAGCAAATCCCAATCTCATAGAACAGTTGGACTGCCAATTGTATAGAACCCTTCTACTACTTTTTCAGTTAAAGCAAAAATTGAAAAATAACACACATAAAATGGCCACCATTTTCAAAATAATCGCTCACAAGCCAAATTGTCATTAGAAAATGTAATACGCTTCTAAGTTGGCACATTTCAACAAAATCATACACACGTACAAAGTTGTACATGTAAATGGAACCATTTTGAAAAATGGCCGCCTACTAGCCAGAGTGTCATAAGACAGTGTGCCATGCTTATATGAGTATTCACATATCAAATATGAACAAAATCACTGTTACCTTTTGAGTTATAGTAAAAATATATATATTTCTAAATGTTCACTGAAAAATGGCCGCCTACTACCCAAAGTGTCATTAGCCAGTGTGTCAGGCTTATGAGTACTCACATACCAAAAATGAATAAAATGGCTTCACTACTTTGAAAGTTATAGTAAAAATGAAAAATAACACACATAAAAATGGCCAGCTTCTCCCCAAAATGCCATTAGACAGTGAGTCATGCATATATTATTCACATATGAAATATGAACAAAAACGCTCCACTACTTTTTGAATTATAGTAAAAAAAAAGTAAAATAACACATAAATTGGCATCCATTTTTCAAAATGGCCACCATTATACATTTTTCAAAATGGCTGCCCCGACTACCCAAAGTGTCATGAGAGACATAGTATTCACATATCAAGCATGAACACAATAGCTCCACTGTTCAAGTTACAAAAATCGTAAAACAGGATGTGAAGGCCATCATTTGTCAAGATGGCTGCTATGTGTTTCTTCAATATCTACATTGCTATGTCCTATATAACTTTTTAACATTTAAAATTCAATTACATTACAGTCTTATACATTGTACCTAAATAAGTGTAAAATCGGCATTAAAATGGCTGCCATTCTGGATAAATGTCAAGGCAGCCATTTTGGATTTTCCGTCTTAAAATTTTGCCTGTAAATGTCTCAAAATGCCTCAAATTGTGTTGGTAAAGTCTTGTCTACTCCTTTTCAGGATAATCATTAGACGGGATCACCCATAATCAGATCTAGATTTTCATACTAAGAATCATCCCTGAAAATTTGAAATTGATCAGAACGGTTCACCTGGAAATGCGTAGACAAGACTTTACAGACAAGATTTTAGGACGGAAAATCCAAAATGGCTGCCTTGACATTTACCCAGAATGCCAAAAAACTAATCAGTTCTAGATTTTCATACTAAGAATCATCCCTGAAAATTTGAAATTGATCTAAAAAACGGTTCACCTGAAAACGCGTAGACAAGACTTAACAGACAAGATTTTAGGACGGAAAATCCAAAATGGCTGCCTTGGCATTTACCCAGAATGCCAAAAACTAATCAGATCTAGATTTTTATACTAAGAATCATCCCTGAAAATTTGAAATTGATCCACCAAACGGTTCACCTTAAAACGAGCAGACAAGACTTCACAGACAAGATTTTAGGACGGAAAAATCCAAAATGGCCGACAATAAAAAAGTGATTATGAGTTTTTGCTGATTTCTTTTTACAAAATTATCACATATAACTACTGTTAACAATAACATAGGCTTTTATAAGAAAGTACATCTGAAATTATTTATAAAGCTACTAAATAGTTAAAGTATGAAAACTCAAAAACACCATTCAATATGATACAAAGTATTATCGCACGCTAACTTTTCTTATTCTCAAAATGGCTGCCATGACTGAGCTAACAGCTAATCAGATCTAGAATGAAGTGAGCTGAACAAGATGTTAAAGTTTTAAAAGCAACTGTGAAGCCGTTTTTCTTTGTTTGCAGACAAGGATTTTAGCATTTGACTTCAAAATGGCCGACAGGAAGTAGGTTTCGAGTTAAATTTTTTTCATTCACATCTGTATGCACTCATAAATTATCCCTGAAAATTTGAAGGTGATATCTGTAGCCGTTTTGGAGAAATCTCCCGGACGTACGGACGGACAGACGGACGCGCCTAGGCCGACAGTATTGCCCCACACTATGTGGTGGGGACAAAAAAATCTGAAACAAATCAGTCGTCAAATATTTGAGTTATCAAAAATTATATTTTTACAAAAAATGGCGGCATTTTGAATGGAGTGGCCATACAGCATAAGCCTTTAAAATTTGAACCAAAGCTGTCAACCAGTATTTGCGTTATTGCCCAGACAAATAGACAGATGATTGGATAGATGAATGAATGAACTGACAGCTTCTCTAATTATATCCCACAAACTTTGTTTGGTGGGATAAGTAGTATTCATTTTTTCAAAGTATTATTTCATTGTTTTTCCAGGCCAACTGTGTATCTTCAACACCTGTTGTTAAACAAGAACCTGCGGAGAACCTTGTCCAAGATGTTGCACCTGAACTACCTAACATTGAGCCTCCAATGAAACAAACAAAATTAGATGACATGGATGATTTGTTTGGAGAAGTTTATGTTATTAAAACAGTCACCAAATCCCCTGATGATGTTGTGAAGGATGAAGTGATGAGATACAGGGCAGAGGTGTGCACTACACCATCAGAGAATCCTCTACAGTGGTGGGACGAGACCTGCGAACAGAACCGAACCGTGAACCTAAAAACCGCGACCGAACCTAGCCGTTGGAATTTAATAAAATCATCATACAAGGGGTGATCAGGAATTTCAAGACCGTTGGTTCTATTTTTCAAACAATATAACCCAAATATATAGAATCACACCATGAAGATTTCATTGTTCTATGACATCACTATCCTTTTATTTTTGTTACCATGGTAACTGGTGACGCGACAAGGTGGAGCTCAGAAAAATACCAAATTTGAAAAATCAACAGTAGTTTTATATGATGTTTGGACACTGTATTCATTGCTGAATATCTTACATACTGTAATAGGTTGTATTATCACTGGTACTCACCTAGTTACGCTGACGTCTAGTCAGCGTAACAATATGGAAGAACTTCCGGGCTTCGTTTTCGTTAAGATATTTCTATTGCTTGATTTTAAACAACTTATAAGTCAAGTTGTAGACAATAATTTAGCTCAAAGTTAAGGAAGATAGTTTTATGTTTGGTATATTAACGAAGACGCAATTCACATATTTAGTCCCTCGCTTTTGTTACGTTGACGATCTGCATGAATATTGCCAATGTGAAGTTGACGAAGACACTTTGTTACGCTGACGAAGGAAAAATGTTGATCTTGGAATGTCATGGGGTATCGAAAGCTCCAGATCCAGGCTCATAGATTTGTGGCATGTGCCCGGGGCATTTGTAAAGCTGAAGCTGAGATAATGAATCCAAATCTTGTAATAATTCTCATATATATTCTTATAATATGTGCATTCCATTCCATTCTAATATTGATAAAAAACTGACATCCTATTCACAATTTAATTCCTTAGAAGCTCAAATAACTGTGGATGATCTGATAGCTTTATTGGTAGAGCGTTGTCTTGGCCTGAGGACCTCCTGTTATGCGTGGGTTCGAAACGTGGGGAAGCATTTTAATTTTTCATGAGATCCAATCATCAACAGTTGTTGAAATGCGAAAAGTGTTTTCTTTATGTTCCAATTTCTTCCCTCTCTCACATAATAAAAGTTAGCAAGTGTCGATTTGCTCTGTGTTATTTATTGTTTACAGCAAATAGAAAGATTAACCCCCCTTCCCCACTTATGAAATTATCTTATTGACTAAAAAATAATTCACGCATAGCTAGTCAAATCAGAACACTCACTCATACCAGATAACATTGAACCTAATGAATGTTGCCTGATAAACGAATATTTGAGTTAACTTCCAATATCATTCAGGGAATATTAACAAGCTTAGAACGCTCATGTCGGCAGGGCTGCCCCGTTTCTGCAATCGCATTCATATTATGCTGCGAAGTTATGTCTTTAAAACTGATTCAAAATGAAAAAATCAAAGGAATTGAAATTGATAACACAGAGTATAAAATATCACAATCAGCAGATGATACATCATTATTTATGAAAGACAAAGCATCCATAAGTGAAGCATTAAAAACCATTAAACAGTTTTCAAAATACTCAGGCCTACAACTCAATTTAAATAAAACAGAAGGAATATGGCTTGGAACCAATCGTGCTTTTGAAAGTAAATTTGAAAATATTAATTTTACAGATGAACCTGTAAGATATTTAGGCATATACATAGGTCACAATGAAAATAAATGCTATGATTTAAACTGGAATGAGAAAATAAATGACCTTGAAAAAACATTAGATTCTTGGAAAAAACGCTACCTTACTTTATTTGGAAAAATCACTATTGTAAAGTCTTTAGCCATATCAAAACTTGTATATTCAGCATCTATTTTATCATTTAAAGAAGAAAAAATTATTAAACGAATTAACAATTTTATATACAACTTTTTATGGGAAGGGAAGAAAGACAAGATTAGACGAACTATTGTAATAAACTCTATAGACAGTGGAGGTCTAAACATGTTAGATTTTCAATCACAGCTAAATGCTCTTAAAGCTGTATGGATTAGTCGTATATATGACAAAAACAACACATTTAATAAAATTCCGTACTTTTATTTTAACAAACTGGCTCCGAATATGGACATTTTATTAAAAATGAATGTTTTCTCTAATGAGCATCTTGATAGACTGCGTGTGTTCTATAAACAAGTTCTAAAAGCATATAATAGTTGTAAAGACCATGATATAATCAATAAATTAAAACACCATGAAATAATCCAACAAACCATATGGAATAACAGATTATTTCAATTGAAAGGCAAACCACTTTTCTTCAAATCTTGGATAGATAGTGATATTATCTATGTCAAAGATCTCATAACTCAAAATGAATTTTTAAATGTTAACTATATTTTTGAAAAGTTAAAAAATAAAAAAAATTGGATTTCTGAATGTTTTCAAGTCCTAACTGTAATGAAATCAATAAAAGGCTTTATTAATATAGAACAAGTAAAATTCACAAATATACCAAGAAAACCCAACTTTAAAGTAAAAAACATCCAATTAGACTTTAGAGGTAAAAAATCCAATTTCTTTTATACAATACTGAAAAATAAAAAATCTGAAAAATGGTTTACCTACAAGAAATGGGAAAGAGATTTTTGTATAACAAATGAAGGTAAAATAGAAGAACTAAATTGGCCAAATTTTTTTACTAGCAAGATAATAAAAGTTAAAGACAAAAAAATTGCCAATTTTAATTTCAAAATAATTAACAATATTCTTCATGGATTAACTGACTTATTTCTCTATGGGATAACAGATAATTATCATTGTAGTATTTGCAATAATTTATGTGACTTGAAACATATTATTTTTGAATGTTCCTTAGCAAAAGATATATGGGCATAAAACATAAAACATGTGGCCTTAATATTTCTTACAGAAAAATTATAATTGGTTATAATGGCCATGACTCACATACACATTTTTTAAATTATTTTATCAGCATTGTTACAAACAGTATTTATAAATAATATATTTTAGAATTGAATAGTAAAAAACAAAGAACATTTGAAAGCATGATTTCATTGATAAAATATGAAATTAATTACAGAAAAAATGTATTTTATTGTTCAAAGTGGAATTTTGTATCAAAACTGTTAAAATGAAAATTGTATGAATTATCTATTTAAAAAAATATCAACTTTTAAGTGTTGTATTGTTGTCGGGGTGACAATCCATGTTACCGACTGTCACAAACAGAAGTGACCCTTGCAAAGGGTTCCATTGAAAATATATTATTTTGGGCCATTTTATATCTTTTAAGTGATATTGTATAAAACATTTTTCAATGTTTGAAAATTATAATCTCATAAATAACATTTTATGTAATAAAAATGTAACTGAAATGGTAAATACGGGATATGATGCAATACAATGCAGTGCAATATGATGCAATACAATACATGATGCAATATGATGAATTACAATGCAGCGCAATATGATGCAATACAATGCGGTGCAATATGATGCTATACAATGTAGTGCAATATGATGCAATACAAAGCAATGCAATATGATGCAATACAATGCATGCAATATGATGCAATACAATGCAGTGCAATCTGATACAATACAATGTAGTGCAACATATTGCAGTACAATGCAGTGCAATATGATGCAATACAATACAGTGCAATATAATGCAATACAATGCAAAACAATGTAGTGCAGTGCAATACAATGTAATACAATGCAGTACAATACAATACAATGCAGTACAATATAATACAATGCACTGCAGTACAATAAAATGCAGTGCAATACAATACAATAAAATACAATGCAGCGAAATACAATATAATGCAGTGCAATACAATGCAATGCTATTCAGTGCAGTACAATGCTATGCTATGCTGTGCTGTACTATGCTATGAAAAACAGACATGTTGACTTTATATCACCAATATCACGTTAAAATGAACTTTTGGAATTGTTGATAGTTTACTATCATAAAGATGGCATAACTAAATTGAGTAAAATGGTTCGAGTACAACTTAAAGTTCGAATCAATTTGTATTCGATATCCCTCATCTTGCCAAGTTTTAACCTTAATGCACCAAAATGATGGGATCTGTAAATATAAGATCATCATTTCTCGTCGAGTACCTGTCTCTGAACGCTCAGTGCCTCACCCTTGTAATTTTAGAACTTCCAGGACTCTCTGAGATAGTTGAACTATGTATTCATGATTGTTGCCCAATATACGCCAATGTTAATATGGTTCGTCAATGTAACAACAGCTCCAACTCACACATTCGTCAACGTAACATTGATCTTACGTCAACGTAACAAAAGCGAGGAACTAAATATGTGAATTGCATCTTCCTTAATATATCAAACATAGAACCGCCTGCATATTCTCAAACTAGACCAACTTCTTTTAGCCAAATATTGCCCACAACTTGACTTGATAACAAATTATGAGGTATCCACTTTGAAGACAGTATTGAGATCATTCAGGAATTCACACACCAATGTTACAAAGTAGTCAAAGACGGTCTGCATCATGTCTTTCAGGACTTGGTGAAAAGGCATAACAAATGCTAAATAAAATGCTGGTAACTACTTTGAAGGATTAGAATTGATGAGAGAACCAGAACAACAGCAACGCCAAAGCGTAGCGAATCCCATCGAACAGCCATGGATGATATTTTTACAAAAGGTATATAGCAAAAATGGCAGCTATTTTTCAAAATGGCCACCTTCTACCAAAAGTGTCATTAGACAGTGTGCCATGCTTATAGTATTCACATACCAAATATGAAAAAATCGCTCTCCTACTTTTCAAGCTATTGTAAAATATGTTAAAATGGCGGCCATTTTTCAAAATGGCCGCCTTCTACCAAAAGTGTCATTAGACAGTGTGCCATGCTTATAGTATTCACATACCCAAAAATATAAACAAAATCGCTCCAGTCTACTTTTCGAGTTAAAGTAAAATAAGTTTAAATGTCCGCCATTTTTCAAAATGGCCACCTTCTAACAAAAGTGTCATTAGACAGTGTGCCATGCTTATAGTATTCACATACCCAAAAATATGAACAAAATCGCTCCAGTCTACTTTTCGAGTTAAAGTAAAATAAGTTAAAATGTCCGCCATTTTTCAAAATGGCCACCTTCTAACAAAAGTGTCATTAGACAGTGTGACATGCTTATAGTATTGACATACCAAATATGAACAAAATCGCTCTATTACTTTCCGAGTTACAGCAAAAATCATAAAATAACGAGTAAAGGTCGCCAGTTTTCAAGATGGCTGCCATGTGCTTCTTTAATATCTACATTTCTAGCTTTATTAATGTCCTACATAATTTTTTTTACATTTAAAACATACTGCTATTACATATTGCACCTAAATTATTGTAAAATAGGCACTAAAATTTTGAAAATCGGCTTTCGAGCAGAACTTCTATCCCCATAGGGTATGTGTACACAATATGAACAAAATCGGGCCAACGGTATTTGAGTTATTGCCCGGACGGACGTATGGACGGAGGCGTTCCCTATATCCCCCTGAACTTAGTTCGATGGGATAATAATAATAGTTACTATGAACATTAATGGATATTCTTAATATAATAATACAACCTATACAGTATGTCACATATTTAGCAATGAATACAGTGTCCAAACATATCAAATTACTGTTGTTTTTCAAATTTGATATTTTTTCTGAGCCCCCCCCCCGCCCCCTGTCACGGCAACAGTTACCATGGTAACAAAAATAATAGGATATTAATGTCATAGAGCAGTGAAATCTTCATGGTGTGATCCTATACATGGCAAAAATAGAGCCAACGATCAAGAAATTCCTGATCACCCCTTCTATAGCCCCTGAAGGGCGCTATAAAAATATGTAAGCAAAATGACAACACATTACTTGTATGTAAAGCCCAGCGCTTGAAAACATCAGCATCATTGTAGTTCCAGCAATGCCGTGCAGCATGGACCCATGGGATACGAATTAGCGTTTTAGCCTCATCTTGCCATTGTAATCCTAAATATCAAAAATCAGATGATATAACCAAGAGAACATGGGATGAAATAGATATACCCTACCAGATAGTCCTGTATAATCTCAACAGATCCTTCTAACCAAATGCAAAACAAGGCATTAACATGACAAAATGTCACCACCTAGTTGCTCTCAATATTATTAGTTCAATCTTAAGTCAGATTTGAATTTCTGAAATTCTATAGATGATTTTGAAGAAAGTTGAAACAAGACCTTTTTGACCCTGAGAAGGTCATTTAAGGATATACCAGTGTAACCTCCGAAAAAATCGATCATTTTCAATCTCAACGAAACTAGGTTTTTATTATAGACCTAGATGTAGCGATTCGAAAAATGTAATAAAAAAGGTAGGTCAACGGATTAGTTTTTCCATGAAAAGCTTCTGAAAATAGGTGTGACGTTATCATCATTTGAACATTTGAGGCGCCATTGATTCCAAAAGCAAAAAAACATATTTTCCTATATTTCGTCGATAAAATGATGATTTAGGGAGTATTGACGATTTTTTTCGAGCATAGATAAACTTCCTTTATACATAATAATTACATTGTTTCGAATATTGGTACACCCAGGACATTTTTTCTTACTTTTTTCACTTAAAGTGTTACCCCTAACCCAACAATATTTGACACGTTTTGAATCGAGAATTACGCAAATTTCCAATGGATTGTGATATTTTTTTTATTTGCTTATTCTAAAAAAGGTGTTCTCATGTTTATTTTGATATAAAAAAAACATAGGATCAACGGTCTGTTTTACGCTTGAAAATGCCATATTTGACTCCTATTCTAATATGCTAATATTTCTGTTCATTTTTCGGGAAAGGATAACGTTACATTTGAGGTTAACAATTGTGAAAACTCAACATGTCCTGTCTTAATGAACTGCCTTCACAAGTATAACCTCACAGATCAGGCATGAATGATTTCACTCGTGATAGCATGCATGCTTTTTGATGATTTTCGGGTGGGGTTGTACATTCCCTGTGCATTCCTCACCCCGAGGTCTCTACTTATGTAAAGCTGTCGGATTTGAGCAAGATACGTCTACTGAATATAGTACACGAATAATGTGTTTCTGTGAACGTACGGCTATGGACGTTTTTCGCATTGTATCCGGCATGTCCGATCATGGTCGTTAATACTCACTGGGAAAATATTTTTAACTGGTAACTATAATTATAAAAATAAAAATATAGAATAACTAGAAAAACAGCAACTCCACGGAGTAGCAAATCCCACCGAACAAAACATGTTTTGATAAAAAAAATTGAGCCAAATTCATCCACTGGTATTTGAATTATCAAAGATTATGTCTTTATGAAACATGGTTGCCATTTTGAAATTCAGCTGTCATCTTTAGATTTCTTCTTTAGCAGAGAATGTCCGTCCAATGGTATCTGGGTTATCAAAGGTTACTTTTTTTATGAAAAATGGCAGCCATTTTGAAATTCAGCTATCGCCTTTGAAATTTCTTCTGAAGCAGATCTCCTTTTTCCCTAAACATCAGCATATAAAATTGGAACCAAATCCATCCACTAGTATTTGATTAATCATTAATTACGTTTTTTTTACAAAAAATGGCAGCCATTTTGAAATTCAGTGGCCATCTTGAAAATTCATTTTTGAGCACAACTTCTTTGTCTCTAGGCATCAGCATATAGAATTTGAACGAAATTTGTCAACTGGTATTTGAGTTATCAAAGGTTAAGTTCTTTTATGAAAAATGGCGGCCATTTTGAAATTTAACTACCACCTTGAAAATCCCTTCTCGAGCAGAGCTCCTATGTCCCTAGGCATCATCATGTAAAATTTGAACCAAATCCATTCAATGGTAATTGAGTTATCAAAGATAATGTTTTTTATGAAAAATGGCCGCCATTTTGAAATTTAGCTGCCATCTTGAAAATCCTTTCTTGAGCAGAGCTCCTATGTCCTAGGCATCAGCATCTAAAATTTAAACCAAATCCATTCAATGGTAATTGAGTTATCAAAGATAACGTTTTTTTACGAAAAATGGCCGCCATTTTGAAATTAAGCTGCCATCTTGAAAATCCTTTCTCGAGCAGAGCTCCTATGTCCCTAGGCATGAGCATCTTAAATTTGAACCAAATCCATTCAATGGTCTTTGAGTTATCAAAGATAACGTTTTTTTATGAAAAATGGCCGCCATTTTAAAATTTGGTGGCCATCTTGAAAATGTCTTCTTGAGCAAGGCTCCTTTGTACCAAGGCAACAGCATATAAAATTTGAACCAAATCCATCCACTAGTATTTGAGTTATTAAAGATTATATTTTTTCCCAAAAATGGCCGCCATTTTGAATTAAGCGGCCATATTGAAAATTCCTTCTCGAGCAGAGGTCCTACACCCATAAGGCATAAGCCTATAAAATTTGAATGAAATCCATCAACCGGTATTTGAGTTATTGCCCGGACACACGAACGGACGGACGGACGAACGGGCGGACGGACGAACGGACGGACGAACGGACGGACGAACGGACGGACGGACGGCTTTTCTATATCCCCCTCGAACTTCGTTCGGTGGGATAATAACATAAATTGAACAAAGGTTTGAATGGCTTGTTTGACATGTTTGATGGTATTTGTTTTGACAGAAAGGAAAAATGAAACAAGGTAATGATTTCAATAGAAATACATATAAATGAATGTGACTTTAAGTGTCTGTGGTTCATGTAATAAGTGTATACATGAATTATAGAAATTCCAAAATAGAATACTGTATTTTACTGTTGCCTTTTGATATTAAATACCCCTGGTCAATACATAGGCTATAGACTATAACTTAATGAAAACTCATACAGACTGTGGCGAAATAAGAAGCAAGTTACAAATTAGATTTGTTGTGTTTGTAATACATGGGCACATACACATATACTGCTGGGATAAACGAAAGAAACGGACATGAAACTGGAATGAAACAAGAATATACAAAAATTACTGAAATTTTTGGAAGAATTGATGACGTATAGTTCATTTGTTTGTTTATTTGTTGATGGGGCAATACGTCACTGACGTCACAGATAATGCTATCATATTCCAAGAACCCATTAACAAAAGTATTATATGACGTCATGATAAAACAACATTGAAAATGAGAATCTCTTAGTTGCTATGGATAACTATGTCATAAAGCGTCATATATCGTCATTTTGCGTCCTTGATATTTAATACAGAACACTTGTCAAACGTGAAGTTAACAATGAGCTTTTCATAGCTTATCACCATTGTCGTAAGGGTTACACTGGTATATCCTTAAGGCGAAATTTCAAATCCAAAGTCAGATTTGAACTTCTGAGAATTTGTAGATGATTTTGAAAAAAAATTGGTCAATTTGAAGCAAGATAAAAAAGACCTTTTTGACCTTGAGAAGGTAATTGAAGGTCAAATCTTTTTTGACCTTTAGAATGTCATTTAAAGGGATATTAAAAGTATATATAAAAGTATGATTTATTAGAATAATAAGTTCATTATCAAAAACATAAACTGGGTATGAACGACGATCATCAAATGCATTGGGAGATATGATAGAATTAATTTTGAGGTACTGGATCTTCATGTGGTTTATGGAAGTCGCCATTACCTAGACCTATCAACCTGACTTTTATGTGCCGGAAAATTCTAAAGTGAATAAAATTCCCGTACGCTACATGCGCCAACAATTAAATCAATGAATGCTCGTCTCCGACTGAGCTGACTTCTTACATAGTCCGATCAACCACTTTAACTACGCGCCAGTAAAAATCACCTATTAATCCGCCGTTATGAATGGCAATGAAATATTAAGTAAGTAAAATCTACTTGAATCGATAAAATCGAAGTAGGAAGAATGAATTTACTTAAGATTTATCACTAAACTGGTGGTAAATTGTAAGGAAAACGGCCTGAAATAAAAGAGGAAATAGTTCGGCAGAAAGTGAAGACAGGAAAAAAGTACCGATTACCTGGTTCAGTTGATTTTTTGCGACCAGATTGCCTGTTTTCGTAGGCTTATTGTGTGAAAATATGCATGATGTGATATCCTCTTTGAGTTTCCTTTTCTGTGGGGTACACCCCGGCATCAGTGCACAACTCCCGCTCAAAATCATATTGATTAAATCAGGAACAAATAACAACTCTGGACTTGTACTTTTTGAAGGAGATGCCTGTCCATCCCAACACGTCTTATATTTGTCAGGCAGACCCTTACAAAGTTACAATATGTCTCTATCCCTTCGCCCAGTTCAGATCTGGAACTAGGTGGAAACTTATCCATAGCTTAGCCCTATCCATTGAAATATTGGAGTAATTTACCGCACCACACATAAGCATTTTTCTATGTGTTTGGATGCTTTCAAAATGGTGGCTACATCAACGATACAGCACACTTCCGGCCCACATCCGGTTCTCCGGAGGAAAGATGGCAATCCCCGTCTAACAGACAACTGTGTCAATTTATGATTTTTATTTTCAATATTACACCAAAACCAACAAATAACAAGTTTTTTATCTTGTTGGATTTTATTAAGTAGTATTGTAACTACGTATTAAGATGATTAGAAGACCTGACATTATTTCTGCTTTAAGGTCAAATCTATAGTCAGATTTGAACTTTTGAGAACTTATAGATGATTTTGAAAAAAATTGAAGTGAGTCTAAACAGTATTTGTTGAGTTTTTGGAAGTTGTAAGAATTTGTTACAGACGCTGATCGCCAACCGCCATAAAAAAAAAAAAATGGAGACCATAACAATATGTCACCACTTTTTGGTGGTGACATAAAAAGTGAGAAAAATTCCAGAACAGTTCATACCTGGAACCTCCCCCGAGTCCACTTGCTTGGTCAGCCAATAACGCATTTTTTCTCGCTCCATTGGGCTTAAAGGCATCATTTTTGTCTTTAACCGTGCACCTTTAGTAAGAATCTGAAAGTGATAGTTTGAAAGGATATAAAGCAATACAATAATGCTACACACCTGGTATCTCTCCTGAGTCTAACTGCCTAATAAGCCAATCACGTAGCCTTTCACGCTCCATTGGGTTGATAGGAATTGCCTTAGTCTTCAACTTTTTGTTGACAATCTATAATATAATATTAATAGATAAAATTTTTGACATTCTTTTCACACATAAAAAAGATTACAAAACCTAGTAAGATGCTGTTTCCATTATTAATCTAATTAATTGAAGCTTTAGCATTTAACTATAATGAATGACCCATGGCCCTGTGCTCACACAGTTTAGAACCGGACTTTCAAAAAAGAATATTCATTTGTAGTTCCGAACTTTGAGTAACTAAGATATAGCACAGTTTGTGACCTAATTTGATGACCTTGACCTTTGAAGTTGAAAATTTAACTTTTCAGAGCTCAATAGGTCTTTTGTGATTAAGCTGACCGAAATTTGAATAAAAAAAATCAATTTGAAAAATCAAATTTTTTGACCTTCGAAGGTCATATTTAAAAACAAAGGTCAGATTTGAACTCCTGGGAACTTAAGATGATTAAACAAGGCACAGACGTGAACAATATTGTACCTAAAACACAGCATTGTGGTGTTGTTGACCAAGAAAGCAAGATGGCCGCAGAAAAGTTAATCAGCTCTAGAACTTATCACTGTGTAACGTATGTAAATATTTGAACGGTTTGGCTGGAAACCTGTAGACAAGTCTTGAAAGTGAAGATTTTAGGACGGAAAATCCAAAATGGCCACCTTAAAATTTACCCAGAATGCCCAAAAACCAATCAGTTCTTGATGTTGATATGTAGAAACATCCCTGAAAATTTCAGATGAATCCCTCAAATGGTTTGGCTAGAAACCTGAAGACAAGTCTTGAAAGTGAAGATTTTAGGACGGAAAATCCAAAATGGCCACCTTAAGATTTACCCAGAATGCCCAAAAACTAATCAGTTCTTGACGTTGATATGTAGAAACATCCCTGAAAATTTCAGATGAATCCCTCAAATGGTTTGGCTGGAAACCTGTAGACAAGCTGAAAAGTGAGACGCCGCCCGCCCACCAAGCTGACTACAATATCGTACCTTTTGTTAGGTACGATAAAAAGACAAATTGAAGCAAGTTGAAAGATAACCTGTTTTCACCAATTTTTTTGATGTAAAATATCTCAAAATTGGTAACAAGGCACATGACGTGATGGAGATCACATAATAGAAAACATTCAAAATGGCCACCAGAAAACAAGATGGCCGTCCAAAAGTTAATAATTTGGAGAAAATCTGCTGAGCAGGTTTCCTGAAATCGTGATGACAAAAAGCGGGACGATCACAATAACGACCACGATAACGATGATGCCATCGTCATGACGACTATATCCCACCGATGGTGATAAAAATTTAATGCTGACATATACTCAGCAATTTGTAAAGAATGCTTAAATCTAGAAATAATTTACTTCATCGCAAGAAATAATGAAGTATGAGGACAAAATTTGAGAGACAAAAACAAAAACTGCCATTGACTTTATACTTGAGAAAATTTAGAGTAAACACCAACAAAAACTATAATTCCAAGAGCTTTGAAATATTCAGAGGACATATGTTGCAAATACAGCAACTACTTGAGCAAGGCTCCTTTGTTTCTAGGCATCAACGTAAAGAAGAACCAAATCAGTTGACTAGCACTTGATTTATCAAAGATTACATTTTTTTAATGAAAAATGGTGGAAATTTTGAATTGAGTGGCCATATTGAAAATTTCCCTAGGATTCCAAATCAACGATCACTAATGTGGGGAGTACCCCAAAACTTTCCTGGGATTCCAAATCAACAATCACTAATGTGGGGAGTACCCCAAAACTTTCCTGGGATTCCAAATCAACAATCACTAATGTGGGGAGTACCCCAAAACTTTCCTGGGATTTCAAATCAACGATCACTAATGTGGGGAGTACCCCAAAACTTTCCTGGGATTCCAAATCAACAATCACTAATGTGGGGAGTACCCCAAAACTTTCCTGGGATTTCAAATCAACGATCACTAATGTGGGGAGTACCCCAAACTTTCCCTGGGATTCCAAATCAACGTTCACTAATGTGGGGAGTACCCCAAACTTTCCCTGGGATTCCAAATCAACGATCACTAATGTGGGGAGTACCCCAAAATCTCACAATGGATTTACACAGATCTCAAGAATCACCATTTAGTGGGTCAAAATCCGTGGAAGATTCTCATATCTGATAAAATGGTGGTCATTTTAATACTTAGTAGCAATATTAAAAATTCCTTTTCAAGCATAAATCCTATCCCCATAAGGCATCAGCCTATAAATCTGAAACCAATCCATGAACTGGTACTTGAGATATTGCCTAAAAGAGACAAATGAACAACAGACAGCTTCTCTATATCCTTCTCGAACTATGTTCAGTGGGAGATTTACAGCTCAAGTGATTCCATCTATTTGAATTATACCTAGATTTTAGATTTTAATATTGCTCCTTACCAATTTTAGATTAGTTATAATCAACTTATTTGCCATTAATTTCTTAACATTTTCCCAATATTGCTCTTTTGCTTGAGATTCGTGGAGAACATAAACATGTCTTACTGGCTTCTTATATCCTCTGACATGAACAAATTTGCTCTTATTGCTTGCATCATGCATTTCCTGCATGCATTGTATGACAGCTCCCTCTATATCATCATGCTCTGAGGGCCCAGCGTCACCTTCTATATCAACTTCTTCCTGGCCTTCAACGAACCCATCATTCGAGCTACCTTCACTGAAAAACCTCATCCCCCTATCAAAATCACTTTGATTAATACTGGCTCTGACAAATAATGGATTGGTAGATTTTGTCTGCATATCTTTAAGAAGAGATTCGGTAAGGAAATCTCCAATAACCCACAAGTTCTCATTTAAGTCATCAAGGGCATCAGGACTTGATACTTGGACATATAAAAGGATGGCGTTCTGTTCTGGGTACCTCACAGTACTTTTTCTATTCCGACCTTTACTTGATTGGCTCTTGCCCTCATCATTCGGTATCACTTTCCTCTTTACCATGTTCAGCATATTACCATGAGGCTCACAAATATCGGTGAAAAGTTCACCTAATTTTGATAAGATTTCATTCTTTTTCTCGAGTAATGGTGGGAGGAAATTTTTCTGGATGTCTTCAAAGTCGATCTTTTTACGTTTCCTCGCTTTCACCTTAGGCTTTGACTTGAAGCCATCTGTGGACTCGTGTAAGGTTAGTATGATCTCTTGAACTGAAAATATCAAAGATATTTTTTAAGTTTGTTACAATTTTTACTAGAGACTTTATATAATTCTTTATCACTCTTTTGAAATGAATTAACCTTGCTTGGAACAGATTTAGTGAAGTGTAAATGTTATGAATTTTCTGAAATTATTACTGATGACAGGACTGTGTTCTTTGTGCTTTTTACTTTACTACACTTACTATGTGATTTGAACATGTGCATGAGATCACGTTCTGTTTGTCCATGTAGCTCTGAAGTTTCCTGAGCCCCAGCATCCCCACCTTCATCATACACCTCTTCCCCATCTTCATTTCTATGTTGTTCTAGAAGCTCTAGTGTCTCATCCTCACCTGAAAAACAGCTTTATTTAAAACAATGGAATATCAACTCAAGGTGTACAATAATGATACTAGATCTTCCACTTTGTCATGAATTCAAAGTAACCAAACAAGTTTAATACATGTATGCAAACTTCTACATGTATTTCCTATAATAAAGGATTGGCATTGATATGGCAAAGTGAATTAAACACATGTTTCTCTTAAACCAGTCACAAAAAAATTCTGAAAATTGTACACGTCGTCAATTTAATGATCATCTTTTGTATGGTAACAATCTAATTTGAATTTTTTTTTTCTTTACATTGTTTTAGAAAACACATCAGACACTTCTTATGTTCTTGGTATCATATGTTCGGAACAAGAACACAAATGTGTACAATATGTCCCCACCAATGGGTGATCCCGTCTAATGGTTATCCTGAAAATGAGTAGACAAGACTTTACTGTTACAATTTTGGAATGGAAAATGCAGATGGCCACCTTAAAATTTACCAAGAATGCCCAAAAAATTAGTCAGCTGTAGATTTTTATACTAAGAACCATCCCTGAAAATTTGAAATTGATCCGTCAAACAGTAAACCAGAAAACATGTAAACAAGACTTTACAGACAAGATTTTAGGACGGAAAAATCCAAAATGGCTGCCTTGACATTTGCTCAGAATGCCTAAAAACTAATCAGTTCTAGATTTTCATACTAAGAATCATCCCTAAAAATTTGAAATTGATCTATTAAACAGTTCACCTGAAAACACTTAGGTTGAAGATCACAGTAGAGTTTCCCATAGGTGGCCATTATAACATTTTACCCTGTATCTTATTAACGATTAGTATCCAAGCCTAGTGCAACATACCACAGTGTTCGGGAGAGACTCGCCTAGCCTGCTATAACAATCTTGCCATGGGTTGTCCACCGAATTTTTGAAATAAATAAACTTGAAGACACTAACCCCCTCTATCGTCAGATTTCTCAGAGAATTCTGGTAAAATCACCAAGGTCAAAATCACTCCGCCGCCAGCTTAAAATGAGATTTCCCACTGAACTCTGACATGTTTTCAGATAAATTAGGACCTACCCTATAAATATTTATTCCCGATTCACTTCCCAAACGCTAGATGGCGCTCCAATGGGGTAGGGAAGGAGAAAATGACTTTTTATTCAGAAAACCAAATCACTAACGGTAACCGCTAATGTCCTTACTCAGGACTATATCCTAATTAGTAAACTGAATTAGTTTGTTTTCTTCCAACATGGTTATATTAGCATTGTAGGCATTATCCCGATCACAATGATATATAACAATCCTATATTTGAGAAAAAGCACGGAGGAAAATTCAATCCTTATAGACACAGGTCCTTTTAGCAAAATTCAGGAAATTTGATTTTGAGATTTCTTGAAATTTCTTTGAGGTAGGGGTACACCTTACAGATTGCATCACAGATTGAGTACACCCAACTGAGGTGAACATGGCCATATGGGGTATCATTGGAAAGCGATAACTACTACCTTTCAAGTGATATCCATGCCAAGGCGTTCAATTGCATCTTATGACGTCATATTGGTAGGAAGAAACAAAGGTTCATTCAAAACTGCCCCGAAAACAATTGAATGGCACGGGAGAATGGAATTCGGGGGTACTTGGCACAGTGGCCTCGCCCCCAAAACACCAAAATTGCTTCAAAATGTCACGATTTTGGTAGCATTGTTCAGCTAAGATACAGCCCTTTAATATTGTATGCGCTATTAGGCTTCTCAATGAACTAAAAAACCTCAAAAAGGGATAAAACCTTCAAAATGCCTCAAAAAAGCGCCTTCTAATAGTAAACTGAATTAGTTTGTTTTCTTCCAACATGGTTATATTAGCATTGTAGGCATTATCCCGATCACAATGATATATAACAATCCTATATTTGAGAAAAAGCACGGAGGAAAATTCAATCCTTATAGACACAGGTCCTTTTAGCAAAATTCAGGAAATTTGATTTTGAGATTTCTTGAAATTTCTTTGAGGTAGGGGTACACCTTACAGATTGCATCACAGATTGAGTACACCCAACTGAGGTGAACATGGCCATATGGGGTATCATTGGAAAGCGATAACTACTACCTTTCAAGTGATATCCATGCCAAGGCGTTCAATTGCATCTTATGACGTCATATTGGTAGGAAGAAACAAAGGTTCATTCAAAACTGCCCCGAAAACAATTGAATGGCACGGGAGAATGGAATTCGGGGTACTTGGCACAGTGGCCTCGCCCCCAAAACACCAAAATTGCTTCAAAATGTCACGATTTTGGTAGCATTGTTCAGCTAAGATACAGCCCTTTAATATTGTATGCGCTATTAGGCTTCTCAATGAACTAAAAAACCTCAAAAAGGGATAAAACCTTCAAAATGCCTCAAAAAAGCGCCTTCTAATAGTAAACTGAATTAGTTTGTTTTCTTCCAACATGGTTATATTAGCATTGTAGGCATTATCCCGATCACAATGATATATAACAATCCTATATTTGAGAAAAAGCACGGAGGAAAATTCAATCCTTATAGACACAGGTCCTTTTAGCAAAATTCAGGAAATTTGATTTTGAGATTTCTTGAAATTTCTTTGAGGTAGGGGTACACCTTACAGATTGCATCACAGATTGAGTACACCCAACTGAGGTGAACATGGCCATATGGGGTATCATTGGAAAGCGATAACTACTACCTTTCAAGTGATAGCCATGCCAAGGCGTTCAATTGCATCTTATGACGTCATATTGGTAGGAAGAAACAAAGGTTCATTCAAAACTGCCCCGAAAACAATTGAATGGCACGGGAGAATGGAATTCGGGGTACTTGGCACAGTGGCCTCGCCCCCAAAACACCAAAATTGCTTCAAAATGTCACGATTTTGGTAGCATTGTTCAGCTAAGATACAGCCCTTTAATATTGTATGCGCTATTAGGCTTCTCAATGAACTAAAAAACCTCAAAAAGGGATAAAACCTTCAAAATGCCTCAAAAAAGCGCCTTCTAATAGGTTGAAGATCACAGTAGAGTTTCCCATAGGTGGCCATTATAACATTTTACCCTGTATCTTATTAACGATTAGTATCCAAGCCTAGTGCAACATACCACAGTGTTCGGGAGAGACTCGCCTAGCCTGCTATAACAATCTTGCCATGGGTTGTCCACCGAATTTTTGAAATAAATAAACTTGAAGACACTAACCCCCTCTATCGTCAGATTTCTCAGAGAATTCTGGTAAAATCACCAAGGTCAAAATCACTCCGCCGCCAGCTTAAAATGAGATTTCCCACTGAACTCTGACATGTTTTCAGATAAATTTGGACCTACCCTATAAATATTTATTCCCGATTCACTTCCCAAACGCTAGATGGCGCTCCAATGGGGTAGGGAAGGAGAAAATGACTTTTTATTCAGAAAACCAAATCACTAACGGTAACCGCTAATGTCCTTACTCAGGACTATATCCTTAGACAAGACTTTACAGGCAAGATTTTAGGATGGAAAATCCAAAATGGCTGCCTTGACATCTACCCAGAATGCCAAAAAACTAATCAGATCTAGATTTTCATACTAAGAATTATCCCTAGAAATTTGAAATTGATCTACCAAACGGTTCACCTGAAAACGCGTAGACAAGACTTTACAGACAAGATTTTAAGACGGAAAATCCAAAATGGCTGGCTTGCCATTTACCCAGAATGTCAAAAAACTAATCAGATCTAGATTTTCATACTAAGAATCATCCCTGAAAATTTGAAATTGATCTACCAAATGGTTCACCTGAAAACGCATAGACAAGACTTTACTGACAAGATTTTAGGACGGAAAATCCAAAATGGCTGCCTTGACATTTACCCAGAATGCCAAAAAACTTATAAGATCTAGATTTTCATACTAAGAATCATCCCTGAAAATTTGAAATTGATCTACCAAACGCTTCATCTGGAAATGCATAGACAAGACTTTAGAGACAAGATTTTAAGACGGAAAATCCAAAATGGCTGGCTTGCCATTTACCCAGAATGCCAAAAAACTAATCAGATCTAGATTTTCATACTAAGAATCATCCCTGAAAATTTGAAAATGATCTACAAAACGGTTCGCCTGAAAACGCGTAGACAAGACTTCACAGACAAGATTTTAGGACGGAAAATCCAAAATGGGTGCCTTGACATTTACCCAGAATGCCAAAAAACTAATCACAACTAGATTTTCATACTAAGAATCATCCCTGAAAATTTGAATATGATCTACCAAACGGTTCGCCTGAAAACGCATAGACAAGACTTTACAGACGAGATTTTAGGATGGAAAATCCAAAATGGCCGACAATAAAAAAGTGATTATACTTTTTTGCTGATTTCTTTTTACAAAATTAGCACATATAACTACTAATAACAATAACATAGGCTTTTACAATAAAGTACACCTGAAATTTTTTATAAAGCTACTAAATAGTCAAGTATGAAAACTAAAAAACACCATTCAATATGATACAAAGTATTATCGCACGCTAACTTTTCTTAAGACATTCAAAATGGCTGCCATGACTGGGCTAACAGGTCCAAAACCTAATCAGATCTAGAATCAAGTGAGCTGAACAGGATGTTAAAGTTTTAAAAGCAACAGTGAAGCCATTTTTCTTAAAGTTTGCAGACAAAGATTTTAGCATTTGACTTCAAAATGGCCGACAGGAAGTAGGTATCGACTTGGAACTTTTTCATCCACATCTGTATACACTCATAAGTTATCCCTGAAAATTTGAAGGTGATATCGGTAGCGGTTTTGGAGAAAACTGCCAGACGTACGTACGGACGGATGGACGGACAGACAGACGGACGCGCCTAGGCCGACAATATGGCCCCACACTATGTGGTGGGGACATAATAAAATTAAGGAATAAATAATGATAGGCCATTCAATATGGTGAAATTCAGCACGAGTTGGACAAAATGTTGTACAAAGCACGAACCGAAGGTGAGTGCATTTGTACTAACA